CACATGTACCCTAGAACTTAAAGTATAGTAATAATAAAATAAATAAATAAAATAAAATAAAAAGAACCCTGAAGGCACCGCTCCAGGCCACGGCTGTCTTGCCTTGTCGCTGTCTGCTCTGTTGGACGCGGCGAGGACTGCAGCATTAGAGTGGGAGTTTCTTTTTGGGAATTAATTTATCAGCAGCCGTCACATAAAACATGACAGTAAATGCTGAGTGACAACAAAGGACTGAGTGTACTCCTGAACATGGCAAGTTGACAGACACACACGAGCTTATAAAGAAAGACAAAAAGGTGGACCCCCTGACTTCCTGACAACAGGCCCTAGGTCTCCATCTTAGAAGCAGGAGATAGATTTGGGGAGATACATAACTTCCCCAAAAGGAAGGTACTGATCAATTTTTTTTTTTTTTTTTTTTTGGTTGAGACGGAGTCTCGCTCTGCCGCCCAGGCTGGAGTGCAGTGGCCGGATCTCAGCTCACTGCAAGCTCCGCCTCCCGGGTTTACGCCATTCTCCTGCCTCAGTCTACCGAGTAGCTGGGACTACAGGCGCCCGCCACCTCGCCCGGCTAGTTTTTTGTATTTTTTAGTAGAGACGGGGTTTCACCGTGTTAGCCAGGATAGTCTCGATCTCCTGACCTCGTGATCCGCCCGTCTCGGCCTCCCAAAGTGCTGGGATTACAGGCTTGAGCCACCGTGCCCGGCAGTACTGATCAATTTTTAAAATTCAACACAGCACTCTGAATTTCTTAGGGAAATAGGGAGATGACCATAGATGGAAGAGAAGCTGAATGCACGTTTTCTGCTGGAAGAAAAAGCTCGGGTGAACTGGACAACTTGTTGTTTTCATACTTAGCAAACCAACTGGGTAGATCAAACCTTAGGCCTGAAAGAACTATTATTATAATTAATGTTCTCATATTCATCTCTACATTTTTTTGTCATCAGAGGACATCTGACATCCACGGAGGGTTTCAGGTTGGTGAAAGAGCATTCCCAAATCTAAGACACAGACTTTTAAGGTTGTCATTATATAAAACTCGGAAGTCATCTGTAGTATCTTTGTTCTCTAAAGCACTGTTCCCAATCGTTTTACTACTTCTCTTGACTATCAGCCATGTAACTTGTACTGTTTTTCCCAGATGAATTATATAATTTTTCCAAGCTGATTTTTGCTGGGAGACTTCCTGTCCATCTCCAGTCTCTCTTAAGACTCTTAACTTCTCATTCCTTCCTGATGGGATCTCTCAGTTTGTTCATCTGTGAATTTCATCAGTGTCCCCTCTACTCTCTCTTACAAATTATCAAGGCTGATGTTAAAAAAGACCAGATTTAATGTCAATCCCTTTCCATTAAACTAGCCAAGCAACTAAGAAGCCACATTTGATTACATATCCAGAGCTGCATTACTGCCTTTTGAATTCAGGAGAGGAGAAGAGAAGTGTAGAAAGCTTTTGATGTTTTTTGATTAAAATCCGTTTAACTCTTGAAATGCCCAAACAGCACAAGGATTTCTTCATTAGGTCTCTGGTGTAAGGAACTGGCTCTCTGCAAAGCTGCATTAAATATGCTTCTTTCTAGGTGTTCATAGTGAGTTTTACCTATTACTCTTAAAAACTGCAAAGGGGTCAGGCGCGGTAGCTCACGCCTGTAATCTCGGCACATTGGGAGACCGAGGCGGGCAGATCACATGAGGCCAGGAGTTTGAGACTAGCCTAGCCAACATGGCAAAACTCCATCTCTACTAAAAATACAAAAGATTTAGCCAGCCATGGTGGCACATGCCTGTAATTCCAGCTACCAGGGAGGCTGAGGCATGAGAATTGCTTGAACCCAGGAAGCAGCACTGCAGTGAGCCAAGGCTACACCACTGCACTCCAGCCTGGGTATCAGAGTGAGACTCTGTCTCAAAACAACAAAAGAAAACCAAAAGAAACTAAAAAGGATTCAAGGTAATGGAACACAGTGAGGCAAGCGGTCATTTATGGCACGTCACAAGAGCCCCAGAATCAAGAAAAACTTCCCCACAGATCTATATAGTGCACCCTCCCCTCACCTGTTCTCAACTGCTCATATCATACTCTCATATACATAATAGAGGCAACGTTTTCTCTCCAGAAGGAGAGATAAAAGGGGTCAAGGGTTGGCAATGTCTTGTTTCTTAAAAGCTCACTCTAAGAAATATGCTTAAGTTTACAACGGAGAAGGCAGAGAACAAAGAACCTGGAGTGGCAGGGCACAGGGCAGGTAAGAGTCCATACAGAAAAGGCCCCACGCAAGACTTCTCCAGTTCTTAGTATCTGTGGAATAAAGAAGGTGAATTGCAGAGGCACCACCAGATCTCAGAGGGCAACTCCCCAGAAGTACACTGTGGGGCAGCAGCTCTTCATCTCCCGCAGTGTTTTCGGCCTCGAAGGCTGCACCCAGACACCTAGACGTCACCTTCAACTGCTTCTTCCACTGGCCTCTTCAACCGATTACTTGGTCTTTTCTTTTTTTTAATCTCTCAGACTCATCTCTTTCTAAATCCTAAATCTCTCAAAATTCTTCTTTCTCTCCCTACAACTCTGCTAGTCTACTATTTCTCATGTTTGTTTTGCTTTGTTTGACCGAATAGCCAAAAATCCTATGAGGCCCACTTGACAGCCCTCATATACCTTAACTGAAATCACGCTTCTGTTTATGTTTACACTACTTCAGCTGACATTCAGAAATGCAAACTCATTCATAGTAACAATGTGGATATTCCAAAAGCATAAACTTACTACGATTTTCTACATTTTGAGAGTAAACCACGTATCATCTACCTTTCAGCGTTCACAGCTTTTTACAAATTTTGTCATTTGTAAGATCTTACGAGGAGATACCTGTTCTCAATTCCAAAGTGAAAAGACTTAAAATCTTTAAATTTAATAATCCAAGCTTTCCAGAGCTGAAGGTAGGTACTTATTGACACTTATCTGTCCAATTATTAAGTGTCAAAATCATACAGTTGCTCCTGGGAGCCAGGTGAGACACTGGCTAACCTTGGAGGCAATGCAGGCAAGTAAAGACTTGCCCTAAACAGGTAGATTCTCATGAGGAAGAAAATTTAAATCAGGAAGAAAAAGAATCTGGTGTTCCAAGCTGAAGAGAATTCACCTAAATTCCCAGATAACAGTAAAACCCTCACACATGAAATGCAGTAAGTCATTAACTTGAAAATTAATAGAAATACAATTGTCCATTGTCTTAAAGGGGGAAAAAAACTATTATAATAAAAACTTTCAAATACTAAAATACTACATACACACGCACATGCGTGCGCACACACACACACACACCCCCATTACACATACAAATAGCCACAAATCCAAGGTCATTTAAATGGCAGAGGTCATATAAGTCCTTCTAAGGAAATGGGATGTATTCTTGATATTAAGATGATACTTCACCATAAAGACATGATTGGCAGGAAATTGCCAGAGACTACTATCACATTATGTTGGGAGCCATTTTACATTACCTAGGACAACTTTCCCCTTTTCAGTTAAGGAAATAGCTTCAGAAACATCATGTAAGTTTCACAAGATCACAGGTTTAAGCTATGTCAGAGCCCAGGTCTACTTATTCTTAGACCAGAGATCCCGTCGTTAAACCATTTTATTGTCCAGGGAGAATCAAGATCTGCTGATGACCAAGAACCATAAAAGAAAACACATTATTTTTCTAAGCAAAACCGCTTGTAACTAAATCCATCTGATTATTCGCCAGGTACATGAACCACCTTTACCAGGTCTTTAGCATGTTGCCTAACAAACTATGGTAAAGTCCATGAAAAGCTCAAGACAAAAATGTGGTTTCAATGTGATGAACATTTTCAAAATCAGGGTCATAAACAATTGAGATACATAACAAGTAAACCTTAGTACATAAAATAAGCAGATGGCTCTTTTATAGACACACTGAAATGGGTTAAGTAAATGATAACAAAAAATCTCCAAGAAGCTTCGTTGCTTTTGTTCTGCAACTCTCAAAACGCAGGCTGAAACAATGTACTTTTAATTCGATGGTTGGCCTGATCCTTCTTCAAGTTCTGGTTTCAATAACTCCCAGAGACAACTCTTAACTGTTAATTCATTTTAAGTATATAGGCCAAACATCATTTCAATAATAAAATATCTAAACTCCCACCCATACGCCAGTTATTTTATGTACTAACTATGATATAATCTTTTTGGTTGTAGAGTTTTAGAACTGAGAAGGAAGGACTTTTGACACCATGTAATTCAATAACAATATTATGTAAAACAAAGAACTTTCAGAAAGGTTTCTGAAACAACTTTAATACAACAAAAAGCTTGGTAATCCTTTGGGATTAATATAGAGATAGTAGGAAGGTGTGCTGAATATCCTGTGTGTTAAATGTACATTGCTCTACATATTTCTATCTTGTTTGAAATATTGTGAGTACACACCACTTTTAAAACTAAAATACAAAATTCAAAGCAAGGTTTTGCTATTTAATCTTCTTAAGATTTTAAGAATTAAAAAAAAACATACTGGCTAATCTGGTAGGAAAATTTCAGTAATATTACTATGAAAAAAACGTTACTATATACAGAGTGTTCCCGCCTCCCCCCAACACTCGGACACACTGTCATTCATCCTCATAACATCCCATAACATAGAGTAGAAAATAAAATGTGAGAAAAGATAAAGTCTTTATAACAGGGAATGACTCTAATTTAAAATTTTCAAAAACATGAAGACTTATAATAGTATTTCTGTGACAAACAGACCCTTTAAGATTGTTTCTATATAGCTAAAGACACCGAGGCACAAAAAGATAAAAATGGGAAAGCAGAGGAAAAAAAATCAGTAATAGCCCCAAATTTAAGACTGCAAATCCTGAACTTTATATCCTAAGTAAAATTCCGAGAACTTCCTTTGCTGAAGGGAAAAATAAAAGGATGCACATGTCTTACAACAGCTTGTGCAGATACATTATTAACGTACCTATTGTTGTTTCGACAGTTTCGGCAGTTAACACACTCCAGAGGGTCAATCTGAGGCACGGCCGTGTACATTCCACCACCCTGGACAGGAAGGAGGGTCAGAGAAAAAGAAAAGAAGAAGGAATGCTGAAGGTGCCCACAGACCAGTAGCCAAATAATCACAAATACACACAAGCCATGTCAACCATAAATGGGCACACGGTATATTCTAACCAAGTCCCAGAGCAATGTCATTGTCAATATCACTGACCCATATTCACAAAGGAGTGAATGAGAGTTCTGCACTATATTAAACTGTATTCCAAAAACTTCACTGCCAGGTTTTTCTACGTATTTCTGTAATAGACAAAAGCAAATAAATGAAGGGAAAGGTTTAGTCACTTCCTTTCAAATCTAGTGGGCTCAAAATACATTATACGTTATAGCCTCTGTTCATTTTTCCTTTCTCGGCAGTCAGGGAAGAATTTCATGTGATGCCAGTTGGAGGAACAGGGTGTAAAACCTGTGTGGATGATGTCACATGATAAACTCATCTTCATTTTCCTGTAATTATTTCGATGAGGTCTGTTCACTTGACAACGCTGAGTTTTAAAGCACGCTATATTTTTCCAGATGGAGGGGATCTGCGGCCAGCAATGACTTGGAGGGGGTGTGTTAATATTTGGATGTTGCTTTTGGCGGAACTGCCCAGCAATTAAGAAAAATGCCCAGATTAACACATACCTCATTGTAAAATGTTCACTTGACAGATAACGATAGCAAGGTTCTTCAAAAATGAAGTTAAAAATTAAACTAGCCTGATAGTCAGAGGCAGAATTCTGCTTTCAGAAGAAAAACAGAACTGAATTTGATACAAGGTGGGAGAGGCTGTCACACTGCACCCAAACCCAAAGCAGGCCTTCAAGGTTAGGAAAAGTTCAGGCAATTGTTTTTCCTAGAATACTTTCCATTGCCATTCATTTCGTAACAGCAGCCAGAATCTAAGCAGACCAAAAGTGCTGAAAATTCCCTTCAGTGTTTCTGATCCAACCAGCAATTGGAATGATCAGGAACACATCAAGAGAAAAGAACTCTCCTATACTATATTCCGTCTGAGAGCAAACCTGAAAGGCTCAGAAAATGAACTTCGCAACCTGCAGGGTAATGCTGTGGGTTAGGGATTCTCTGAATCCCTAAACACGTTAAAGTTAGTGCAATGATTTTTAGGGTCACTAACACTGTTAAAATTTCTTTATTTCCCCCACCCAGAAAAGTAAGAAATCTAATAGTTTAAAATCACAGATAACTTCTGACATTGTACACCAAATGGGGCGCCTATTATTTAAACAGAAATTCATTGTTCAAAAAACCCAACGTTCTGTGTTCAAACACTAAAGCAAACATTGGCCTTATTTTTCTTCTTATGGAAACAGTGTGTGCTAGTCAAATGTTACTACTCTCTCCTTCAGTTTTCTTGGACAATGGTAGTAGTTTGGACTAGGAATGGTGACCAAAAAAGTTCAGAAGTCTGAATACACGCTGTATCTTTCCACACACAACAATGAAATCATTATTCTCTTTTAGTAATGAGATGCATTAAAGCAAATTAATATTTCTTCCACAACATACAAAAGCCAGGTCACACAAAAGCCATTCAATTTCTAGCTTTAAAATATGAGTACATATTAGTTTTGTTCTCCAAATAGATTTTAACAAATCTTTAATAAACTGAAGATGGGGAAAGAAAACCTGCCGTGGGTCACGGTAAATTTATTTGTAATCAGAACAATGCCAAAAACTGAGTGCTTAATTCGATCAATTAAACACATTATCTATTTGATCAAAAGTAATATAGATGTGCATCCAAACAATGTCATGAATCAAACTTTCTAGTGCAGAGAACCCCAGCATAAGTCTAAAATATGCTAGTCATTCTACTCCCATTTCGAAAATTAAACGGTATCAACTAGTTATCTCTGAAATAAGGTTGTCTTAAGGGATTATCACTCTTTGTGGCTAAAGAATACTAACATTGTAAAATGTGAAAAGCTTACCAGCCACAACAAAACACATTGGGCAAATCCAACAAAAGAAGCCCGTGAAAGGTCAGAAGTCACAACCCGGTGGCCTGCAGAGATGTTTGGCATGGGCTACATATGTTTTCAAATTTTGAATTAGGTGCCAGCATGTAAAAATCGGTCAATTTCACCTGGATTTACAGAGGTTTTGAAAAATCAGACAATTTGGCAACACTGGGCCCTCAGCCCATGACAACTGTAAGTGGCAAACTGCGGCTGCTTCCCAGAGACACAGTCTGTGCTCTCCAGGTGGCCATCGCCTCCAGCGCTACCATCTCACTCCCACGATGTCCTGATCTGCCTGCCTCTTCTCGGCATTTGCATTTTCAAGACCCTGCTCTCAATAAATCAAATTTAAAGTGTTTGGTCTAGTCTACGTCCAGTGGTATTTCCATTTCATCTAAAGAACAATTTCCAGTCTGTTCATTGCTGGTATTCCACTTTCAGTGTTTAATAATTTTAAAATGAAACTAAACTGATGAATATAACTATGACCTGGCAATAGAAAACAACTTACAAAGACTACTGGGGATCAAAGGGCTGCCAGTGATCGATGCTGCTTCCATTCAAGGGAACCTGTGAGGTTTCTATATTGAACAAAGCCCAGCATGCTGTCCCCGTTCTGGTACTTGGCACCCTGAGGGACAGAGGGGTTTTTATTTATAGTTAGGTCTCTTACATTCACTAGATGACGAGGATGTTCGAAATCCACATGTGTCCTGGGTAGAGAGTTGGTGTGCCCAGAGTAAAGTCCTCCATTTAGGCTCCCATTCACAATTCCATTGACTCCGTTGGGGACCTTACGGTGAAGGTGGGAATAGCCACTGCTGAGACCGCCGTTGGTTAGGAAGCCTCCGTGAACATTTCCATTTATCTGACTCGCTCCCGAGAGAGCGGTGTATTCTACCATCTGCCCATTCATATCTGATCCTTGGTAGAGATATCCTGGTGGGTCATATTCTGTTAAAAGAGAACAAAAAAGCCACACACACACACAGAATAAGACATTAAAAAGGACAATCTTCTTGCTGAAGGTCTTACTGATAAAACCCCTAAGAGACTACAAATAGACTAAAATAAAAACATTTTTAAAATGTTCACTTAAAGCCCACTTGTAAGACATAGTTTAATAAAGTTATTGCTATTATTTTCCATAGAGTGTAGAGATAGCTGTGAACTCTGAGTTAATTATGATTCTGTTAACGGGAAGAAAAATTAACTAGGGAGAAATTACTCAAAAGAGAATGAATATATTGGGCAAGCTAAACTATCAGAGTACTGGCAACACTAGGAAAAAGTGCTTAAACTCCTAGATATTATACCTCAAAGTGCTGAAAACAACAGCATAAAATGACAACAAAAGACTAGCTTTAGGTGGGGTATTTCCAGTAGCAATAAACAACTCTGTTAAGTAAAAGGATGGAGCTGTACATACAGTCACTGACCATGCATACAGCCGCTTAGTCATTATAACCCATTTGGAAGGTGTGGGGTACCAAAGGCAAAAAGTGATTCTCTTTTCTTTTTTTTTTTTTTTTTTTGAGATGGAGTTTCGCTTTTGTTGCCCAGGCTGGAGTGCCATGGCATGATCTTGTCTCACTGCAACCTCTACCTCCCAGGTTCAAGCAATTCTCCTGCTTCAGCCTCCCGAGTAGCTGGCACGTGCCACCATGCCCAGCTAATTTTTTGTATTTTTAGTAGAGACAGGGTTTCACTGTGCTAGCCAGGCTGGTCTTGATCTCCTGACCTCGTGATCCACCCGCCTCGGCCTCCCAAAGTGCTGTGATTAGAGGCGTGAGCCACTGTGCCTGGCCTTCGATTTTCTTCTATTAAAAGCATATAAATGACTGTTTCAAAACTCTGATTTCCAGAGGCACATCTACCAGATATATGTAGAAAAAGTAAAATATCTCTTAGAAACTAGAGTGTCCAAACTGTACAGGATTTGTTGTTGGAGCTTGGATAAAATCTTCGAAGGTAGGAGAGCTCGCCAAGGCTGGATTAGGTGTCCCTCCTTTCCTTAGCTGCCCGCATTACTGTGCACTCTTGCCCAGGTGTGTAATCTCAGTACACCTGCTTGTGGTCTCTACTAAACTATAAACTTTGAGAGGGCAGACGTGGTGTTTATTTTATTTACCATTACATCTCCACTGTCCAGAACAGTGCCTGGTATAGAGAAGACAATGATTATATTTTGAATAAATGACTGAATGAACACCACCATGAGAATTATCCATTTTTAAACATATTATCAGGTCACAAAGTAGGATGACTTTAATCCGATTAATATAGCTCAGATGACCAGATTAATACTTCTCTTTTAATGATTCAACATGCACTCACACAGTTAAAGGCAACAGCATTAAAACCACTTAGAACATCAAATGATCACCATCCCTTTCAGATTAATACTTCTCTTTTAATGATTCAACATGCACTCACACAATTAAAGGCAATGGCATTAAAACCACTTAGAAAATCAAATGATCACCATCCCTTTCAGCCTGACGCAGCCACCGTCTCTCCCCCTATCTCTTGGACGGCACCATTCGATACAAACAGAGTACTTCCTTCCCCCGGAACCGGTAACTAAAAGGGGAGCATGCGTGAGAACTGGCTAACAGCCACTGGAAGTGCCTGCTGGGGTTGTCCCTCACTTTTCTTTCATTTCCTTATTCTGGAGCCAAAGGGAAAACCAAAAAACTTCCTCCCACCAAAGACTAAACTCTCTGCTTGATTTGATGATCCTATTTTATAATAGCTGCGATAATACGAAAAGTAAGACAGTGTGCTGAAGAGAACTGAAGGAAGTGAAAAGAGAAAGGGGGTTCTAGGTTATTTCACTTGTTATTTCAAAGCAGAGCCATCATCGATGTTCAAGCACACGTATTCCTAGATACACTCCAGGGAGAGGATGCCATGCTGGCGGTCTTGAGTCCATCAGGCACAGAAACAGGGCTGCATTATCCTCATTGGTTACGTGTCATTCAGTGACAGTGACTTAGAGAAGTTTTCACTACCTGCTTCCCATCATGGCTTTTCTATTCCCTGTTGGCAAGCTCTGTACCAGGGTAAAGGTGTTCCTACAGCAATTCCAGAGCTCAGGCTCCTCTTTGGTGGTCCAACAAAGCTGGAGTTTCCCAGCAATAAGTCAGTTATTTACTTAGAGACCTGCTTAGTTTTGGCTTTGGTGTTTATGTCTGCTGGGCAATTTAATTTGATGCTCCACTTACTCTGGCTGACAGCTAGCCCAGTTTTAAAGTCATCTCCTCTGAATGAAGAGTATCTCATGTGCTTCATACCATGACACTAATACACAACAGTGTTAGAAATCAATATTTATTCTGACAATATTTGTCCACCCATCTTTAGAAAAAGAGAAGGAAACACTTATGAGTGACTTACTTTGTATGGTATTCTGCTGGCGATTCTTCCACAGGCACATTGCAATGAAAACCATCAGAATGAGGACCATGACGCCCAGCACACAGCCAACGATCAGATATAACATGTCACTGCTTCTAGCAGGGCTGGCTGCAGACCCCACATTTCCTCCACTTCCCGAAGAATTTGGAGGGGTACTCAAGTCTTTGACAGGATATTCAGAAGCCCCAGGAACACGTTTCACTAGTTGAAATATAAAGGAAAACATGATGTCAGAGTGAATACAGACTCCATGAAATGGTTTACTCTCTGAAGGAGGTCTGGTTAGGAATGCAAGCCAGTCTGTTTACTCTTGTGACTGAGATGATCTGACCACCAATGAGTCACAAAGAGAGCTCCAAAGTTTAAAAACCTGATGTGCCAAAGTTTTAGTCCACAAACTTTAGAGAAATCCTAAGAGCAGACGAACATATGCACTTGGTCTAATCCAAACTGCTATATGAATATCTGCTTAACTGTACTTGAAGAAGACTCCCAAATAGTTGAAATGAAAGTGTTTCCACTTAGGCCGGGCACGGTGGCTCACGCCTGTAATCCCAGCATTTTGGGAGGCCGAGGCAAGCAACTGTCTGAGCTCAGGAGTTCACGACCGGCCTGAGCAACACGGTGAAACCCCGTGTCTACTAAAAATACAAAAATTAGCCGGGTGTGGCTGCGGGTGCTCGTAATCCCAGCTACTGGGGAGGCTGAGGCAGGAGAACTGCTTGAAACCGGAAGGCAGAAGTTGCAGTAAGCCAAGATCATGCCACTGCACTCCAACCTGGGTGACAGAGCGAGACTCCATCTCAAAGAAAAAAAAAAGCATTTCCACTTATGGATGAAACACAAACTCCTTTCTGTCAGATATATTTTGAGCTAAACAAGACTCAGAATTACATATTTTATGCTTCTACCATGTATATAAATCACTACCAATAATAGAAATTATGGCTTTGGGTTACTAGAACAATGACCTTCCAAAATCTCACACACAGTATTAAACATTCCAAAAACAAAGCCTTTGGAGCCCATGTAGGTGCAGTACTCTTACCCGGTTCGTCGGTATTCTGGGTAATAGCAATAACAAAAACTAATAACAGGTGGGGCTCAAACCTCATTCTCTCATCCCCAAATTGTATGTTCTTAAGTCTCTACATGTCACAGAAAAGCAGCAGAGCAAAGTGGTTGGCAGCCAGTCTCCGGAAGCACACAGCCTATGTTTATACCTCACCTCCACCTATCATTAGCTATATGACTTTTACCTCCAAAACCTCAAGTTTTTATTTTTTTATTTATTTATTTTTTGAGACAAAGTCTCGCCCTGTTGCCCAGGCTGGAGTGCAATGGCATGATCTCGGCTCACTGCAGCCTCTGTCTCCCAGGTTCTAGTGATTCTCCCGCCTCAGCCTCCCAGGTAGCTGGGATTACAGGCACATGCCACCACGCCTGGATAATATTTTTTTTATATTTTTAGTAGAGACAAGTTTTCACCATATTGGCCAGGGTGGTCTCAAACTCCTGACCTCAAGTGGTCTACCCACTTTGGCCTCTCAAAGTGCTAGGATTACAGGTGTAAGCCACTGTGCCCAGCCAGTTTTTACATTTTGAAACGGGGATATTAATAAGAGCTCTATCAATTATCTAGTGGTAATGAAGGGTAAACGCGTTAAGCCATGGAAAGCACTTAGAGCCTGGCTCAGGGTGGTGGTCAATCAGTTCTGCTGTTATTATTGGTTATTATACTGAATTTCCTGTTATGGTGCCAGCAAACCACAGAAGCAAAGCAGCTTTTAAAAAATCTATTCAGCTAAACAGACACAGATGAGAAAAGATGTTCATCATCACACTGCTCATTAGAGAAATGCAAATCAAAACCACAATGAGATACCATCTCACACCAGTTAGAATGGTAAGCATTAAAAAGTCAGGAAACAACAGGTGCTGGAGAGGATGTGAAGAAAGAGGAACGCTTTTACACTGTTGGTGGGACTGTAAACTAGTTCAACCATTGTGGAAGACAGTGTGGCGATTCCTCAAGGATCTAGAACCAGAAATACCATTTGACCCAGCCATCCCATTACTGAGCATATACCCAAAGGATTATAAAGCATGCTACTATAAAGACACATGCACACGTATGTTTATTGTGGTACTCTTCACAATAGCAAAGACTTGGAACCAACCCAAATGTCCATCAATGACAGACTGGATTAAGAAAATGTGGCACATATACACCATGGAATACTACGCAGCCATAAAAAAGGATGAGTTCATATCCTTTGTAGCAACATGGATGAAGCTGGAAACCATCATTCTGAGCGAAACCAAACACTGTATGTTCTCACTCGCAGGTGGGAATTGAACAATGAGAACCCTCAGACACACGGCGGGGAACATCACACACTGGGGCTTCTCATGGGGTGGGGGGATGGGGGAGGGATAGCATTAGGAGAAATATCTAATGTAAATGATGAGTTAATGGGTGCAGCACACCAACACGGCACATGTACACATATGTAACAAACTTGCACATTGTGCACATGTACCCTAGAACTTAAAGTATAATTTTTTAAAAAAAGAGGAAAAACCAGGAAAAAAATAAAAAATAAAAATCTACTTGGCTGGGCGCAGTGGCTCATGCCTGTAATCCCAGCACTTTGGGAGGCGGAGCTGGGCAGATAACGAGGTCAGGAGATCGAGACCATCCTGGCTAACAGGGTGAAACTCCGTCTCTCCTAATAATACAAAAAATTAACCAGGCTCGGTAGCACGTGCCTGTAATCCCAGCTACTCGGGAAGCTGAGGCAGGAGAATCACTTGAATCCGGGAGACAGAGATTGCAGTGAGCCAAGATCACACCACTGCACTCCAGCCTGGGTGACTCCATCTCAAAAAAAAAAATATCTATTCAACAAACAACATTAAATTGGGGTTCAATTTTCTAGCAGTATCAACCACACCAAACAGAGCTGGGAATGAGAAAAGAAGTCATCTTTCAAGAGAAGGTGTTCTCTCTTATTGAAAGCTGGATGAATATTTGGCAGAGATGCTAAGGAAATTTCTACTTGAGGTGGTATGTTAGACTATACAATTCTATGTCCTGGCCGACCCTAAAGAAAACAAGTTTCTGAGGCACAATGGATGTTCCATATCATATATTAAAGATCATGATTACTCATAGGGAAGTCGTCAGGTTTAATCACTCTTTATTTGTTCTTAATTCATTTGTAATTCTATCAACCTTCATGATCTGGTTTCCAACCCCTCGCTAAAGGTAAAAACTGAGGACAGATGGCTTGCATTGAAGGGTAAGTGAGATCCATTAACACTGATAGGAAGAGACAGATAACAGCCTGAAATAGAAAGGTGAGATGAAAACCAGAGAGAAACCAAAGAACTAAAAGAAACATCACAGCAGTCTCTGATCTTCGGTGGGAAGGGAAAACAGCCAGCCTTCAGCGCCTCTGTCATCCCTGAAAACCTTCCTCAATTACTCAAGATAAAACCATCATTGTTCACAAAAACCTAGAGTCATTTTTTAAAGGTTGAAGTATACATGAGATCTTCCATCTAAACAGGCTGGGAATTATGTAATACATAATTACATAAAAGTCATTCAACATGAATAGTTAACATTTCAAAGAAGTTTTTTGTTTTTCACTGATCTGAAAGTCTGTAGGTAGAACCTTTTCATTCCCTACTGATGTCAGAAAATGAGGTATACTATTGTAATCACAGCTATACTATTATACTACTATAAATAACAGTTATAATGTTTTATGTTTCGTCTGGCTAGATTCTTAAATGTCCTGGGGGCAGAGATGATAAATTTCATTTTTATTTAACTTTACTCCAAGTATCCCATGAACACATCACAGTGTCTGGTACAAAAAGGCACTCAAATATATGTTAAACAAATGAAATTCAAGGTAAGTCTAAAGGTATGTGGATATATGTTTAAGTATGGACTTAAGATGTGAGTATTGCAGCAGAGACACACATGATTTAGAATTTAAAAGCTAGAACTAAGCCTTGGCTTATCATTCAATCTTTTGGAGCCTCCATTTCCTCATTTTTTAAAAACCTACTTTTTCAAGTCCTCATTTTTAAAAAGGAATAATAAGATCACCTGTAGAGACACTGATGGCTGCCCAGCTCACTCAACAGCCATCTTTACCATGTTATCAGAGCTCCAATTTTGTTTGGGTGTCTACCTCAACCCCACAGAACTCTGGGATAAATCTGGTCAACGGTGTGGGGGCAGTGTGTGGCTGAATTGTGACTAATAAGACTTGTGGGAAGATCTAGTAGAGGCCTTTGGAGGAAATTTTCCTTGTTCTTGAAAACAAACACTATCAGACATTATAACACCTTAAAGGTGATGCCCAGAACTGAGGCGAGCTAACAGCAGTGCTAGTCTTAGGGCCAAGCTGGCAACGGGAACATGGCAAACAGGAAAGACAGAAAACAATGAACTTTTTTTTTTTTTTTTTTTTTTTTTTGAGACAAGGTCTCACTCTCTTGCCCAAACTGGAGTGCAGGGGCCTGATCTTGGCTCACTGCCACCTCTATCTTCCAGGCTCAAGCGATTCTCCTGCCTCAGCCTCCTGAATTAAACAACCTTGGAATTAGTTACCTACTTCTGGGCTGCTTATTTTTGGGATAACACATTTCTTCACTGTTGAAGCCTACTGAGAGGAGATTTTTGTGTTCCTTGCAGTTGACAGTATCCTCAAAGTTGTTGTGAAGATTAACTGAGACTGTGGACAAGAGTGTTTTTGCTTGTAAACATCTACATGAGCTATTTCTATTATTCCCCTGTGGTATCTTAAACATGGCAACACTCTTGACAGTGAATCTACCTATGCAGGCAGAGTTGAGAATGTTCAATTTAGAATTAGCAACTGCTAATTCTAAACTTTACTACACTTAATTAAACAAGTAGACAGAAGTTACATTATCTGTCACTCAAGAAACTACTTTAAACATATGTTTCACTTCTTAATATTCTTAAACTTTTGTTAGTATTCTCATTTTCACAGCAATCTAGAAAGTAGTCAACAAATATTTTTATCATCTTTGTAAAGAAAAAGGGAAGGGTTCGTGACCAGCCTGGGCAACACAGTGAGATGCCGTCTCTAAAAAAAAATAAAATAGGCCGGGCGCGGTGGCTCAAGCCTGTAATCCCAGCACTTTGGGAGGCCGAGACGGGCAGATTACGAGGTCAAGAGATTGAGACCATCCTGGCTAACACGGTGAAACCCCGTCTCTACTAAAAAAAATACAAAAAACTAGCCGGGCGAGGTGGCGGGCGCCTGCAGTCCCAGCTGCTCGGGAGGCTGAGGCAGGAGAATGGCGTATAAACCCGGGAGGCGGAGCTTGCAGTGAGCTGAGATCCGGCCACTGCGCTCCAGCCTGGGCAACAGAGCGAGACTCCGTCTCAAAAATAAATAAATAAATAAATAAAATAAAATAAAATAAAAATAAAGAAAAAGGAAGGGAGGTGATTTACTTAAGAGTCACACAGAAATTAACAAACAGGATTAATGATTATGTAAACTACTTTTTAGTCAAGTATTCGAGCCCACATGTTATACATTTGTCTGGACAGTGTAAGTGTATGCACCTAGAAAATGGTCCAAAGCAGAAATTTCCTTAGGCAAATATATCAGTAGTCGTGGCTGGGTGTGGTGGCTCATGCCTGTAATTCCAGCAGTTTGGGAAGCCCAGGCAGGTGGATCACCTGAGGCCAGGAGTTCGAGACCAGCTTGGCCAACATGGTGAAACCCCATCTCTACTAAAATTATAAAAATTAGCTGGGCGTGGTGGTGTGCACCTGCAGTCCCAGCTACTTGGTAGGCTGAGGCAGGAGAATGGCTTGAACCCAGGAGGTGGAGGTTGCAGCAAGCTGAGATTGTACCACTGCACTCTAGCCTGGGTGACAGAGTGGGACCATGTCTCAAAACAAAACAAAACCCAGAATATATCAACAGTCAGAAGCAGTAATTCAGGGATGGAATTCCATCACTGTCCAGGGAAAAAGCAAAACTTCTCCCACCTTTAGTCTCGCAGATCATCACATTGCTAAATTCACTTTCTCCTCCTTCGTTGAAGCATTGCATTTTAATGTCATAGGAGGTTTCTGGCTGGAGGTGGCCAATCATGTGCCACTGCTTTGAACCTAAAAGGAAAAATAAAAGGCTTTACACATCATACAGCCTAAATGATAGTATCGATATAATTAGTTAATGTTTTCAGGATGAGGCTGGAGCAGCATCCACCACCATCTAGTAGTTTGTGCAATAAAAATGTCCTTAACAGTAAGTATTTGACTAATGTACCACAGATAAACAGCATTTCTATTACATGGCATGAAGGAAAAGTAAAGAGAAGAGATAAGCTGACTTAAAACTATATCTGTGTGTTGGCAATAATACTTGTTTCACTAAAAATAATTAGTGGGGAGTCTTTCATAAAATACATGTTAATTTTATGCATAGGAAAGAAACCTCAAGTCCTTTCATCCCCATCTTAACCCAGCAAGTCAATCCACTATGTTCCTCCACCAAAAAGCAACAGTACATTTGGGACCAGCAAATGGTGCACTACCCAGAGCAACTGACCAGTTACGAGAATGGCCCGAGCGAAGCTCTCAATTCCATTGTCATGGATACAACATGAACTGACATATGACCGAATGCCCGAATAAACTGCTGAGAATCATCAAAAAGCAAAATCTACTATGGGAAACTCTTGGCCGCCACCCCCACTCCTGCGTTCTTTTGAGTGAAGATCTCCAAACCACACAAGTATCTCCAGGAGAATGACTCTGTTATCCGTGGCACACAACCAACATTTCATTTAGAAACACTCCTAAATTGAACACTCCAGTAGAAATCACTCTTCATTTTGACTTCCATGGACTGGTGACAACCTTTCATAAGCAGGGACACTTTTGCCAGATTAAATTAACTCTTCAAGCACCCTTAATCCCTTGTAGAAACATCTCTTCAGACTGTCTCCACTGTTTCATAGAAACTCAAGCATACCCCCGACTGATTTAAGAATTAATTAAAGGGGGAGAAAAAAAGCAAAACAAAACCACATATGCACGTTAAATCTACTTGGCTGACAGGACCAATATCACCAGACTCCTTTCTAACTCAACGCAGACAAAAATATTTCAATCTGGAAGTACAAGCCTCTTTCCAGGTCAACAGTACAACACCCTTCACTTGTACAGACCCACGGTTTCGAAGGAAGAAAATCTGCTTGTTTTAGGATCGTCTCTGAAAGGCTCAAAAGTGAGGAGTTCTATGCCCCATTTACAAATGTAAAAAGGATCCCCCAAAAGATACTGACTCAAAAACTGGTTGAAAATGGAATAGATCTGTCTCTAAAATCCAAAGGCTTTCCAAAAAACTTCTTTTTTTTCTCTAGCCTTGGGTCTTTCCCAACCTGGCCCTACACTCACCTACACTACAAACATTCTCTTGAATAATTACTACACTAGATTTGAAGTTTTCCTTTCATAGCGTTCATAAAAATGGAATTAAACTAGGCTTCGGATATGTTACTAATAAGAGAAAAATCGTTAAAATGATACATATCTTGTTAGATTAATATTCCACTGTTATAGTTATTCTTCCACTGGCTAAAATTACAGGAAATAACAGCAAAGAGAAAGAATTTTACCGATCATTGATGAATAAGACAACTAAGTACATCATTAGGTTTAAAACCGACCACCCAGCACATGTCCTTGGATTAACAGGCAATTATTTTCCCAAAGGATATTTTAGAAAAGGTAAGGATTTACCTCAGAGAGAAACCAAAGCACAGACTTAAAGATCAGAGTGACTGATACTTTATTTGGAATTGACTTAACTTTAAAAGATAAAAATATTCAACACCAAAACACTGTTGTGTTGGAAACGTGTACAGTTTGCCTACATGTGGAACCTAATTCAGAAAACAGGATAGCTTCATTGTCCTTCTCTTACTGTATGTATTCTTTTACAATCTGACTTTTAAGTTTGTTTTCAAAAGTTTAAATGTTGGGTCAATTCACAGAAGTAATCTAAAACTTTAAAAAACAAAAACTTTAAGTACAAAGGATGAACACTTTTGTTCCTGCTTTTTGGAGAACAGACCAATAGTTTCCAACTGCCACAAAAAGAATTTCAAATGCATAAACTTGAAAATATAGAATAAGCAAATTACACAGCATAGTGAAGCCCACTTAAACATCTAGCTGCTCAGTATATTACATTTATAAACAAGCGCTCTGTGAACCTACGGCAAAACTCACATTTGCAGACACTACTAGATACAAAAGCTTCTTTAAATAATTTCCAAGTTCCATGCTCAATATGCATATTTCAGAAGTTTGTAAAAGCTCAAAGATTTGACTAGAGAATATGGTTTTAAAACTGTTTATTAGCGGATATTTCTAGAACATAGAACCAAGAAGGGTGATGATGAGAGAGAGAAAAACAGAGAGACAGAGACAGACACTCATTTTACTTAGAACTATTTTATGGTAAATGTTTAGCCTCTGTCAAAAAATTTTAAAAATAAAATTCTGACATCCCCACTGCCCTAAAGTCAATGAAATAAAAGGAAGACCTAGACAGGCCCAAAATGGAGAACAAGCACTATTAGGTTGGTGCAAAAGTAACTGTGGTCTTTGTCATTAAAAGTAATGGCAAAGACCGCAATTACTTTTTACTTTTGCACCAACCTAAATATTATCCTTCCTTTTCTTTTTAAAAATAGCCTTTTTACTGATGTAAAGTATGCATACAGAAAAGTCCACATAACTGTACCGCTCAATGAATGTTCACAAACTGGACATGCCCATGGCACCCATACCTAAGTCAACAAAGACAACACAGGAAAGCCCCCACCCCAAACATCCCCTCATGCCCCTTCCAGGCTCTTCTTTCCCGTGAGACCGCTACTATGGTGAGTCCTAACAGCACAGAATAGTTTTGCCACTAAAAGTTATGGCAGAAAAGAAAGAATCAATCCCTCATTCAAAAAATATTTACTGAGCAACTACTATATGCCAAGCATTAAGAAGTGGATCATAAATTTCTCATTATAGTACAAAAGTCATTCCACTGAATATGAAAAGGACTGCTACAATATTTTAAGAAATGTGATACAGCATAGTTAAAGTAATTTATTAGAACACAAACTATATGTAGTATTTGATGTCAAGAAGTCATATGGAAAATAACCTTGGCCTATGGCAATTTTCTGACATAATTCACTAGCACATTTCTTATTTCAAAGAATCAGAATCTTGAAGTGAAAAAAAGAACTTGGAAGAAGCCTTCCTCCAAAAGCAAAAATCCCTTCCAAGATACCACTGAGAAGTGGCGTTCAGCTTCTGCTGAGCACTTCCGGCATTAAGGAGTTGACGACTTTGTGCGGGAACCTACGTTAGGAATGCTATGTTAGAAAGTTCTTTCTTACACTGCTTTCTTGCAACTTCCCCTCCCCCAGCTGACTCAGCTTCTCTTCCACATAACAGTCCTTAAATACTTGAAGGCGGCGATCAGGTTGCTTCTGCTAGTCTTTTTCAACCTGAATATTGTTAGACATTCCCTTGTTCTTTTTGGACTCCATTCATATATTAATTCAATACTGGCCACCTCACCATTTAGGTTCTGGAGACATAGCAGTGGGAGAAAAGGTCCTGTGCTCACCAGGGAGTTAACATCTAGTAGAGGAGACAGACTTTAAGCAAACAGTTTCAAATACACACATAAACACACACACACACACACACACACACCATGTACTTAAACTTTGATAACTGCTATGAAATAAACATAAAGGGTATGGTTAGAAACTACGGCAAGGTACCCTCTCATGTAAATGAGAGGAAGTTACCTGAGAGGAAGTTACGGGGAAGATCCAACTCCCCGTAACTTGACTGTCAAACATTTTGAAAAGTGGGACAATTTTTCTGTACACACAACTAGGTAAAGGCAACAGGAACTACCCTGTGCCAAGGTCCTGAGGCAAAAATGTCTCAGTGCACACAAGGAAACTGAAAGAAGGGCCAGAAAGGGAGAGGTGCAAGAGACGTGGTGTAGACAGGGGCCAGCCACGTCAGGTGGAGCCTTCAGGCCACAGGCAAAATTGTGGATTCTATTTAAATGCAGTTAAAAAAGCAGCACCATCTTCTTAGCTGTTTTCTTTCTTTTCCACATGCATTCCAATTTCTCAGCATCTCTACAAGTGAGCAAGAGGCTTACGACGTGATCTTTCTAGGACAGACTCCAAAATGACTGAGATATTTTTTAAAAGTAGCTAAACATTGTAATGGATTTTTAAACTCAGGTCACTGTTCATTCAAATGAAACAGAAATCAAAATGTTCTTTCAGATGAACTACTACTGATTAATCCTATTTCCCCCAAATGTTTGTACAAGTTTCTGCAACCAAAATATAAGGTGCTGCATATATTAAATGGGAAAAGGTGGCTTTCTTTGGGATAAATTCAATAGCAATAACACATACACCATTCCACTTTGTACTCTCTTAACTTGGGATGATGCATTTTATATTCATCAACCTTCTTTCTCCAAAGCTCCTTTACAGGGACTCCAGTAGGCCAGGTGGACTTACCTTCTACAACGTCCCTCTTGTAATCACTGTCATTGTCACTATCTGTTGGTCGGTAATAGACATAAAATCCTTGAATGGGAGTGTTATTGTTACTGGATGGAATGTACTGAAAAATAGAAGCAAAGACTTGTCAAAGGGAAAAATAAACATAACTTTCTCATTCATTAAGGTTTCTTTATCTACTTGGTCACATTTTTCTAGTTTCGTTTTGCAAACATACCAATAATGGCCATTTTTAATTTACTTCAAAGGTATTAAAAGCATTTAGCTTACTGCAAAGTTAAACAGAAATAAGGCCGGTTCAAAAGCATAAAAGCACATTTGGTTCCAAATGAAAAAATCATGATGGCAATTAAGTTAACAACATTTGGATGAGAGCTGAGGAAACAATAATTCTCCTTTTAACCCTGCCCTCCTCAAATATGTGCTCTTATTTAGACAAATATTGGTGCCCTTGCATGTCCCCTCAATTAAAGTTCAAAATTTGCTGTTTACTGTATTGTCATGAGAATATTAAATTGACTGTTAACATGACCAAACCAGAAGATCTCATTCCAGAAGATGTTTACTGACCGTCCACTTTAGCATGATCTGAGTATCGCTGACAGCCTCTGTGTACGCAATGTGGGGTCCAGTTACTGGACGGTTGGAAAAGCGACTGGGGAACCCAGCCACCTGATAAGGGCGAGATGCTGAACTCCGAAAACTCTCACCATAATGGTTGATGGCAATGACCCTAAATTTGTATGTTGAACCTTTGAGGGAAAACAAAAACAAACAAACAACAACAACAACAAAACATAACTAAGAAAAGCTGTAATAAGACAATGAAAGGCAGAATAGTCAAAATATGGCAATTGTGCTTAAGTACCTATCTATAATAAAGTATCTAAAGCCCGTATAGTAAATAGATTTCAACCCAATTGACAATTTCAATCAACTGGGAGTGGCTGCTCCATGCATTGTGCTCAAGATCCCAAGACCTTCTTAGGAGTCACCAAGAAAGAGGGTTGAAAAAGATTAATGACATCTCAGGGAAAAAGCAGGTAGAGAATAGGAAAGAGGACATTCGCTCTTTTCACCATCCTGTTCTAAGTCATACCCGTCAATGACTGTATTAGTTGAACTATCTGTCCCCAAAACTAGGTTCTTTTCACTTTAAAAGAAACAACTGAAGCACGGTTTAATCCGGTGAATACACTCATAAAGAGGCACTGTGTGGGCGGCCGCAGATGTCACTCTGGCTTCACTGCTAACAGGGTAAGAGGGAGCAGATTTAACTACTGGGGAAGGAATTATTTGAAGTAGATATTAAGAACTTAAAAAAATGTTGAGGACTGTGAATTTCTGAAAATCTGAACCTAAAGAATAAATTAAAATCCTAAAGCAAGTTTCCCGATAGCTCAAAAATAATTACTGAGCTTCTGAAGACAGTGTTTTCAATCTACGGAATGTTTCTTAGCTTCACCCACATTTAAAACTGATGCTTCTCCCAACTATACCTACTTGACCCTATGCTGCGCATGTTGCCTGTTTTAACAGCCATAGGCATTTGCTACTAATGTACATTTAAAAGTCCAGAAAAAAATCGCCATGAAACCTAAACAAATGAAAGTACAGAAAGTTGATTTATGCTTTTCGTCTTTTATGGTTTAATTTCTCTCATATAGCCTCAAGATTCTTGTGGGGAGGGCAGGGTTCCTCTGCTGAAACAAAACTTAAAGAACAAACGCGTGTTCATCACTGACTTATGTCCACAACACGAAGCACTGAGTATTACAACTGTGCTGAAATTCAGCAGATCAAGTAATTTTTGTCAAATAACAAGCAATTTTCCTCTCAAAGTATTCAGGCATAGCAAAACACACACACATATAAGATGTACACCACAGTATTTCTAACTCTAAATAAACAGAAATACTCTAAAGCTCAGAAATAAAGAATAGCTAAGTGGATTATGGTATATTTATTTATATGAAAGGTAAATCTCTACTAAAAGTTGAGTTTGTGAAGAATTTTTAATGATACTGGAAAACATATATGATAAAATATGGGGAACATGGGATAACAAAACAATATTTATGGCATGATCCTGCAGTGGCTCATGCCTATAATCGCAGCACGTTGGGAGGCTGAGGCGGGCAGATCACCTGAGGTCAGGAGTTCGAGACCAGCCTGACTAGCACAGTGAAACCCCATCTCTACTAAAAATACAAAAATTAGCTGGGCGTAGTGGCAGGCGCCTGTAATCCCAGCTACTTGGGAGGCTGAGGCAGGAGAATCACCTGAACATGGGAGGTGGAGGTTGCAGTGAGCCGAGATTGTGCCATCGCACTCCAGCCTGGGTGACAGAGCAAGGCTCTGTCTCAAAAAAAAAAAAAAAAAAAAAAAGAGAGAGAGAGAGACAAAAGGCTACGAAAAAATACAATGAAATATAAACAATGATTATCTCTGAATGGGTGGATTTTAGGTGACTTATTCTCTTCTTTATATTTTCTTTATTTTCACATTTTTATACAATAAGCATGAATACTTTAACAATCAGAAAAAAATATAAGACTACTAAAAATTTCCATCTGCCAGGTGCTATGACTCACACCTGCAATCCTGGCATTTCAGCAGGAGACCAAGGGTGGCAAATTGCATGAGCACAGGAGTTCAAGATCAGCCTGGGCAACATGGCAAAACCCTGTCTGTACAAAAAATACAAAAATTAGCCAGGCACGGTGGGGAGTGCCTGTAGTCTCAGCTACTTGGGAGGCTGAGGTAAGCCATGATTATGCCACTGCACCCCAGCCTGGGCCAACAGAGTGAGACCTCATCTCAAAATATATAAATGTATGTATCTAAAGTTCACACCGATGGTAAAAGGAAATGTTTGAATATTACTACCTGGTTCTAAACTACGAACTTCCACTGAAAGTTTGGAAGGAGGGATGTCTTCAGCTGCCACCAGCCAATCGCTGGTCCTCATCCGTTTATATTCGACTTTGAAGGCAGTGATTGGAGAACCCCCATTTGCCCGAGGAATCCAAGTGACATAGACTGACGTCTCTGACGCAGTGGAGATGGTAGGCCGATCTGGTGCCTCTGGAACTAAACATGGAAACGTTCATTTCAATAACCCACCATGTCAGAGATAAGAATTACATAGATAAATGAAAAGGATAAGTCCCAAACTTCCTCTTATTAAACGTTCTTCACCAAACTTTTTGCCAGAGTTTATAACATTTATAGCTATCTTCCCATCCTCTGTGAAAAGCTAATGGGAATACAGGAAATAAAAGAAAGAGAAAGTAAAATAATCTATAAATTTGATAATTAGCTCTGAAAAACTGAAAGCTAACAAGTATGATCATTTTGACCATGCTATTCGGATTCATGGCTAAAATAATATGTAAGTACTATTTGATGCTTCCAGTTTGACTGTGGTTAAAATTTATAATAAACTTTCACAGTTATGTGTTATCTTATTTATATGTTTTTCTTCATCTATGCAAGCTACACAAAATGCACTCAGCAACCTACTAATTCTAATACTATTACTATTCCATATTATCTTAATACACCTCATGGCTATAGGAAGGTTACTCCAAAATACAGACTACAAGTTGGCAAACAGAGATAAAATCTGACTGATAAAATCAATACTGTTAATAAAGGGGAGAGAGAACGCTGCTCAGGATGAATACGGGAAGACAGGAGATGTCGTTAAATCAAAGTGCTAGTAGAAAACATGATCCACGTGAACATGTAGAAAGGGGGGTCAGGGAGCTAGGGTCTAGCAGTTTTCACTTGGCACTGCCGAGGAAAGGGGATGCCCTGACACACGAAGTACATGGTCTAGACCCTGCAGGAGGTGAAAACACGAGGAAGAAGCTCATCAGCCACTGAAACCATGTATCTAACTCTTCTTGATGACCCAGGGATATGGCTTGGATACTTATTCCCTCCAAATCTCCTGTTGAAAAGTGATCCTCAGTGTTGGAGGTGGGGCCCGGTGGGAGGTGTTTGTGTCATGGGGGCAGTTCCCTCATGGTGGCCAGGTGCCCTCCCCTACATGGTAGTAGGCGAGTTTTCACTCTGTTGATTCACAGGAGAGCTGGTGATTTAAAAGCATGCGGCGTCTCTCTTGGTCCTGTTCCCACTATGTGATGTGCCTGCTCTCGCTCCACCTCCCACCATGACTGTAACCTGAGGCCTCCCCGGAAGCCAAGCGATGCTGGTGCCATGCTTGCATAGCCTTCAGAACCACGAGCCAAATAAACCTCTTTTCTTTATAAATTACCCAGCCTCAGGTATTCCTTCATAGCAACACAAACAGACCAACACAACAAGCAATCTTGTGGTTGTAACTGGCTTCCCACTGGGTTCCTACAAGGAAAGAATGCGGATAGAAATAATCCGGTCTGTATGACAGTGACATTGCAAACTTGTAATTGCCATTCTGGTTTGCCTTGATCATCTGTGAATTGTGTAGACATGAGCCGGTTTTCAAGAAACCAGTGATCTTCCGGCATGCTGCCAATCAAGTTTCTAGAGCTGGAATGTGGAGGGCCAACTCTGGGCCATGGTGGCAGTAGTTACTTTGGGAAAGCCAACAGGGAGCCCCACCTCTAGCCTATGCCATGCTCCTCAACCGAGCAACACCCTTCCACCTCAACAGGTCTTCAACCCGCCATACAAATACATAAGAGAGAAGAAAATAACGTTCAATGTAGTATTTGTATGGAGAAAACTGTAGCACTTTAAAAAACAAATTGCTTAAGGGATAAAAGAGGACTATATTCAAAGCAGGCAATGCTGAGTGATACTTACTGTATTCCTTTCAAGGTAGAAAGCAATGAAAACAGAATGAATAGAATGGTTAGTGACTCTTTTTTAATACTAAAAAACCAAACGACTTCCTTAATGTTGACTCGTCTGAAATCAAAATTCACCAAACACCACAGATCAAACAGGAAAAATAAAGTTATTGGGGAAAATGTCTCTACAGAAAAGAGTATCTTCAATAGCTAAGAGAAATAGCATGTGACTGTTAACAAGGTATAAAAGGAAGACAGCACTTGGAGTTAGACATGGACTTGAATAGCAAGCAGTTCCTCCACTTTCTGGATGATCTGAGGCATCGTGCATAACCTCCTCATGTGTCACTTTCCTAATCTGTAAAATAGATACGGAAATCTGTTCCTCATTAGGTTGTTATGAATATTAAATAAATCATTTCTTATGGTTATCTCTTCTTGGACAACTCCAAACTCATGATTTCCAAAACTGAATCCATAATCTTCACCTAAAAACTCTTATTACTTATCTTGGTAAATGGTCTTCTGGTGCCCACGCCCAATCCATCATCTTTCTCCTTCTCATTCAGTGTGGATTCCATTCCCCTGATCCTCCCCCTCCTCCATCCACACTGTCACTCGCCTTATTATTTCTCTAGCCTTTTCTTTTGCTATTCCTCCCTTCTCCTTCTCTAAAATCCTTAAGGGTTCATTATAGCTTTCAAAGAAAGATTTAGCTTTGAAGCGTATCACACAAGGCACCTACCTGCCTGCCCACTATAGCATCATTCCCCACAGCAACCAGTCACACTAAATAAAATCTCTAACCTCTCAATCTCTAAACAAAATAGAACATGTCAGCCAGTTGTCTATTGCACAAGATGCCTTTGCTAGAAACTCCTTTCCTGTTTCATCTATCTGTATCGTCTTTGTCCTTTGCAGCTTAGCTTACGATGCAGAGAAGCCTCTCTTATCTACTCACCCTTGTCTGCACTGAGTGACTGACTTAGATAGTTCTCTTGTGAACCCGTAACACGAAGGGTATCAAGCATAATCAATCAAAATTGTTACTAGTTTGTCTACATTATCCACATATTGTTACGGGTTTAGCTATCTGTCTCATCCACTATACTGTAATTAAAAAAAAAAAAAATAGAAACAGGATCTCACTCTATCACCCAGGCTGGAGTGCAGTGGAACAATCATAGCTCACTGCAGCCTCAAATTCCTGGGCTCAAGCGATCTTTCTGCCTCAGCCTTCTGAGTAGCTAGGACTACAGGTGCATCCCACCACACATGGCTACTTTATAAATTTTCTGTAGAGGCCAAGTCTCATTATGTTGCCCAAGCGCTTCTCAAACTCCTGGACTCAAGTGATCCTCCTGCCTCAGCCTCCCAAAGCACTAGCATTACAGGCATGAGCCACTGTGCACCACCATGCTAGGCCTACATTGTAAACTTCTTGAAGGCAAGGATTATTTTATCTTTGCTGTTCCAGCATTTCATATAGTATCTGCCAGAGAATGTGTAAAATAAATGGCAAGGTTTTTGTTTTTCAGACGTTACTTTTATTCACATGAAATTAATACTCTTATACATAATCTGCTTAAGGTAGCTGAAAGGTGCCTCAGAGATAAGAGCACTCAAGTAGAAGAGAGTCATGATACTGAAGATACAGAGGTGCTCCGGAGGGAGTTCAAAGTGTTACAACCTGCTTTTGTCTGAGATCAATTCATGGAAAATGGTAAAAATATGGAAGAGAAGTTGGAGAATTCTCAGAGCTTAGCAATGAAATTTTAAATCTTCCCTAGATGTCCTGATGTTTTAGAACAATCACAAAAAGCACACCTGGCTGTAAGTGTAGAGCTCATGTAAGTGCGAAATTTAAATACTAAAAAAGTCTTCTGAAAATTATACAGCCAAGACCTTTAAAAACCATAAGATTAACTAGATATAGCAAAAAAAAAAAAAAAAAAAAAAAGAAAAGAAAGGGGAATGTAACATGTAATCCTTCAGTAAAACAACTTATCACAGGTACCACTATACATTTTGATGAGTCACACACATAAAAAGTGAGATTTTCAGAGCTCAAAATATAAATTTCCTTCTCTTACCAGAGAAGAAACAGAAAACTCCTTTTTGTTGTTGTTGTTGTTTTGTTTTTTTTTTTTTGAGACCGGGTCTCACTCTGTCATCCAGGCTGGAGTGCAGGGGAGCAATCTCAGCTCACTGCAACATCTTCCTCCCAGGCTCAAGCGATCCTCCCACGGTGGCCTCCTGAGTAGCTGGGACTCCAGGTGTGTGCCACCACACCCGGCTAATTTTCTTGAATTTTTAGTAGAGACAGGGTCTCCCTCTATGTTGCCCAGGCTAGTCTCAAACTCCTGGTCTCAAGTGATCTGCCCACCTCAGCCTCCCACAGTGCCTAGCCACAAAACTCCTTCAGTTCTAAAAACTTAGTACCAGAACATTTTGAGTCAAAGTTAATGAAGTTAAGTACTAATCCTGACACTGAGATGCCAAAGTTTAAATACAGGACATTAAAATGGCTGAAATAGAACCTAAAAGACCTGTATGGTAAGATATGAAAATAAACACCCTATTCCAAACCCCACCTCCCCAAATCTGAAGCAGGTCAGTTATATTTGTAAAGAAACAATAAAATATTATTATTTTTACCTCCACTGTGCCTAGAGGAATCTGTAAGTACCACTCCAAAATTGTTGTTTGCAGCCTCTGAAACAACAGGATACTTAGGGATGCCCACGGGCGGAGAGGATGCCTGGGTATTTTTTGATGATGCTGTTTTTTCTAGAAAGGTAAAAAACCATATACAGTAACATGAGCTTATATGCATGTGAAGTGGGGAAAAAAAGTACTGTGAAACTTACCTGGTATGTGGTTATAAATCTATGAACTGATCTACCCCAGCATCTACGTGTAAGACCTGCTTCATAAATACTTAGCTGATCTGAGGAACTGACCAAAAATTACTTTGTCTTTTTCTAGTATCTTTAAAGTAAAGCTAAAATATGCCTTTCTTCATTCTAACTTTACGTATCCAAAAAACATAGGTGAAAAAGCCAAATGACTAGGGGTTCAAATTATTTGTCCATTTTTCTTTTTACTGTATATATTTCTTAATTCTAAGCCATAAAACTCACCATTAAAGAGCTTCTGCTAAGTTTTCTAAGGACAAGCGTCACATCGTTTTAATATTTCAAGAGGCAAAAAGTGAAACTGCGTGATTTGTTAAAAACTGAAACGCGGCCGGGCGCGGTGGCTCAAGCCTGTAATCCCAGCACTTTGGGAGGCCGAGATGGGCGGATCACGAGGTCAGGAGATCGAGACCATCCTGGCTAACACGGTGAAACCCCGTCTCTACTAAAAAATACAAAAAACTAGCCGGGCGAAGTGGCGGGCGCCTGTAGTCCCAGCTACTCGGGAGGCTGAGGCAGGAGAATGGCGTAAACCCGGGAGGCGGAGCTTGTAGTGAGCCGAGTTCGTGCCACTGCACTCCAGCCTGGGCGACAGAGCAAAGACTCCGTCTCAAAAAAAAAAAAAAGAAAAAAAGAAAAAAAAACTGAAACGCAAGATTACTCAGTATTTATGAGTCAACTCTATGAACACCTAATGACTGATTATGAAAATTAACTCAAGATACATTTAACATAGAAAGGACTTGTTATTTTTCTGGCCAGACTTAGTAATTATTTGAAAGGGTCTTTTTCAAAAGCCACTAGCTGGTTTCTTCTCAATCTTCACACCTCCTTTTCGTTCCAGTGCCATACTAAAATACTCTTCCACCCAGTTCCCTTCTCTACCCACTGACGTCTCTTTGTTCATTTACAGCCAAGCCATGACAGCATCTTTTATCATCAAGGATTCCCTCACAAGCTGCCCCGCAGAAAAAAATATCCTTCCTTTGTGCTTCCCCAGCACTGTCCTTGGAAATCTCCTGTGGTACTTGGCATATGCTGGTGTCTTTGCCTGCATTCCTGGCCGCCTCCACTCTATCCAGACTCCAGTCAGTTCAAATGCTCCAGCTCTTCCCAGCTCACTCAGAGGTAAAGACAAAGTCCTCCCAAGGTGGATGGTGTGCTGTGTGATGTGGACACCCCGTTGTTCCCTACAGCCTCCTCACCCACGTTGCTCCCATCACAGTGGCCCCCTCGTGCTCCTAGTGAACACCACGCACACCCCACCCTGGGCCCTGGCACTTGCTATCTCTGCTGGGAATGTTCTTTCTCTAGAGGGACATGTGGCTTTCTACTTCCCCTCCTTCACGTCTCTGCTCTGATGTTGACTGCTCGTTGAGGACTTCTCTGGCCACCTGCTTAAACTGTTAACTCCTACCCCATATACTTCCTATATCCACCCCAACTTGTATCTCTGTTAACACCTTCTAATGTACTTATAACTTATGTATACGTCTCTCTCAGCTAGAATGTAAGCTCTATGAGGCCTCAAGTCTTGCCTATTTTGCTTCTTGCCTGACACATAAAAGGCATTCAATAAATATTAGCTGAACTGAATACTGTCTTGTAGTTGGTATTAAGTTACACATCTTAGCTTTCTTATCGAAGTATAAGCTCTGTCGGGATGGATCTCAACTTGACCATCTTCATTTTCCCTATATCATCTATCCTCACTGCCTTATATAACATAAGCTTTCAAAAACATCTGTGGAATATTCGATGGAACAGGACGATACAAGCACCTAAATGTGACCCCAAAATGGAAGGGGGAGGGTATAATAGGGTTGTTTAGTGTATTTATATATAGGAATTTCTACTATCCAAAAGAATTCTAGTTGCGCGTGGTGGCTCATGCCTGTAATCTCAGCACTTTGGGAGGCTGAGGCGGGCGGATCACGAAGTCAGGAGATCAAGACCATCCTGGCTAACACTGTGAAACTCCGTCTCTACTAAAAATACAAAAAATTAGCCGGGCGAGGTGGCGGGTGCCTGTAGTCCCAGCTACTCAGGAGGCTGAGGCAGGAGAATGGCTTGAACCCGGGAGGCGGAGGTTGCAGTGAACCGAGATCACGTTATTGCACTCCAGCCTGGGCAACAGAGCAAGACTCCATCCCCCCCCAAAAAAAAGAAAGAATTCTTACTAGTAAATTGACATCAGGGCAGCCAGCTCGTTCCTCCAGAGGAAGCCCTCACTCACCTTTGCTGGTTCGGAAAGTAAGCATGGCAGGTTGGCCTTCACCTGCCGCGCTTCTTGCTACCATCAAGACTTCGTAAAGACTAGACGGCTCCAGCTCAGCTAAATGGAGCTCGTTTTCACTTCCTGGGACTCGAACCGTGTGCCAGCTTCCTGCCATGCCAACCCCATCGTCCAGCTGCCCAAGAGAACACACACCAGAAAAGCAGGAGATGGAGGATAGGAAAACTTTCAGTCACATTTGATCAAAACCAGGATTCATTTAATTCTAGAAGAGTTTTAAGAAGTCAGACACCACGATAAGTAAAAAAGACATAATACTTCTTCACATTAAGAAATACAAGATCTGTTGCAAGAACGCTGCAATTCTCACTGCAGAAAGACTCCTGGCTCTGCATCTGACCACTAATGTGTGGCCTCAAGCAAGTTACTGCCCTCCCAGACTCTGTTTCCTTTACTTGTAATGGAGACAATACCTTCTTTCTTCCTGGGCTAATGAAGAATAAGATAAGTATAAAATAATAGGTATCACTGGTAATTATATAGTGTACATAACAGATATATGGTAATGTAAGATGGATATTATATTACATGTATATTAATTATATAATTATGTATTATATATTTCCAGTATTATTGCTTCATGTCTTGACACTGTTCAATATGTGTTAGAGGAAATAAAAAGATCAAATCAGTTGTTTCTTGATTAATGGAACCAAGAAACACTATTGCATGGAGGTTTCAGGGTAGATGAGATTACTAGCAAACTTCCTCATCTAGAATCATTCGTTAGGTAAGAAACAGTATGTAAACCTTAAAATATCATCATGTTAAAATGTCATCATGTTATTTTTCCTAGTCATTAAACACATTACCATTCAACAATGTATACTAAAATTTCTTGAACAAAAAAAAAGATTTTAAATATGAATGCATCCCTCCCATTTCATTCATTTACTGGGCTCATTAAACAGAGAGGAACTTTTCCATTCTGCTCCAGTACAAGCCCATGGGGAAAACAATATTTGAAGAGTTAACTGAGAGGGGCCCAAGGTTTACCCCAAAAAATGATCAAACAATGTATGATTTTAATACAACTGAAAAGGCAACTTGAAGCTGGGCACAGTGGCTCATGCCTGTAATCCCAGTACTTTGGGAGGATGAGGTGGTGGATCACTTGAGGTCAGGAGTTCAAGACCAGTCTGGCTAACATGGCAAAACCCCATCTCTACTAAAAAACACAAAAAAATTAGCCAGGTGTGGTAGTGCATGCCTGCAATCCCAGCTACTTGGGAGGCTGAGGCACGAGAATTGCTGGAACCCAGGAGGCGGCATTTGCAGTGAGACGAGATCGTACCACTGCACTCTAGCCTGAGTAACAGAGCAAAACCCTGTCTCAAAACAAACAAACAAACAAACTTGAAACACAAACAATTGACATAAATTATTCCATAGACTCTGTTCAAACAGTTGTTTTTCATAAAAAACTGCTTTATTTGCTAAATAAATAGTATTCTACTACCTTAGAGAGGGAAGGAGTTTGTATTTTGAAAGTGGTTATAGAGCTTTATATTGAAGGGTTAAAACGTTTGATTAAACATGTAAAGACATCATTGGGTTCCTAGAATTCCAATTTGGGGGGAAATTATACTTCATTCTCAGTGCTTTCCTAGGATTGGTAAATCCAGCATGACTGGGATCTCTCTGACAAAGTCATCAGCCTGGACACTCTTGTTCTGTTTCCTGCCATTCCGCAAATGGAAAAGACAACAGTGTATGTCATACAAAGAACGTTCAGGTGTGAGCAGAGAAAGATGATAAACGACAAGATATTACCTTTCGATACTTCACAAAGTAAGCATTGATGGGCAGCCCACCATCCTTGCCTGCCCTCCACAGCAGGTTGTACGTGTCTGGCGTGTGGGTCTGTGGGGGGCTCAGTATGATGGGGGCGTCAGGAACCGAGACGCCGCTGGCATTTTTCTCTGGCGCTGATTCCACTGCACTGGGATGGACCTTCACTGGAAATGAGCTCAGTAACCTGGTTTCTGAACCATCTCTCTTATTTCTTTCATCATTCTGAGCAGCATCAGGAAGTGTGACTATCTCTGCTTTTGTATTTGTTTCAAAAGGAACTACAGGGAGAAAGAGAGAAGACAGCGTGAAGAAACCCTCATGTCACTGTCTTTTACCCAGTGTGTGACGTGACTGCCCTCACTTACACTGTTAGCACAATTTGAGCCCTGGAAGTTAAAACAGGTAACACTGCCATTTATAATTCATGGAAACATTTAACCTCCAGTTGCAATCTTTTCTCATGGTGGAGCAAATGAATTGCTTGAAAAACCAATTATATGATGCAATAGTGTAGCAGTTAAATGTTTTTATTTGTTCCTTGTTCTCTAAGAGTATTCTTTTTAGTAATAATCATTTGCTAGTTTAACCTCAGAAGATTTCAAGTTGGCTGGGCATGGTGGCTCACAACTGTAATCCCAGCACTTTGGGAGGCTGAGGCGGGTGGATCGCTTGAGCCCAGGAGTTCGAGACTAGCCTGGGCAACATGGTGAAACCCATCTCTACAAAAAACACCAAAATTACCCAGGTATGGTGGCAGACACCTGTAGTCCCGGCTGCTTTACTTGGGAGGCTGAGTGGGAGGATCACCTGAGCCTGGGGAGGCTGAGGCTGCAGTGAGCCATGATCGTGCCACTGCACCCCAGCCTGGGCAACAGGCCAACTAACTTCTACCCGGGGGATCCTGCAACTACACTTGTCTCAAAAAAAAATTAACAAAAGATAAAACAAGCAGGCAGCCTTAACACTTACTACTAAGAGCATACAGAATATACAGAGGAAGATATAATTTATTTGCACTGAAAAAATACATAGGTTGCATATAGTCAAAGACAATTACTGAGCACATACTATGTGCCAAGCATTGTATGAGCTATCTTATAAACATCATCTCATTTAATTCTCAAAACATTCTTAGGTAGATGGCAATACTCCCATGTTACAGGTGAAGAGATTAAGGTTCAGAGAGACTAAGCGACAGCGGCCAGGAAGAACGTTAACGGTGCTGCTGTGAAAAAAAAATAAGAAGGAACAATTTACGAAAACAAATATACTGCCAGTACAATAAAACCTAAGGAGTGACAGCTTGGTTTCTCTAAATTGCTATTAATACTGGCAACAGAAAACTCTATTTTTCACTCCTTTTGTGGAGGAAGAGTGCAGAGGAAACAACGTACTACTTTTATTTCCAAAATGAAGTCAGATTCCTGGTAAAAGGTGGGTGTGTTTTTGGGAGAAGGCCTGCACTGTAGTAGAGAACCAACAGAAATAGGACTAACAGTGTAAGGTTAGTTCTCTGTTAGTGTAAAAGACAGAAACAGTGTCCCAGAAGCATCTTCCATCAAAGAAAACAAGAAGCTAGTGAGGAAACAATGTAGAAGAAAACTAACTAAGTTCACTGAGACAATTTCAAAATATTGCTCCTGGAACAGCAGTGTTTATCTAGTGAGTCAGACTGCAGACTGATGTTCAGGGTGTGATCTGGTGCCTGCTAATGCAGAGACGGACTCAGCAAGTGGAGGTAATTAACTGTGGCTTGAGGTAGTGGAGAAGGATCTTTTTATCATTAGAAGTTTAGTGGATCCTCCGGGCAGTTTTCCACTGGGAAGTGGGATCTGGCTGTAAAAGAGTTTAAATGCCACACGCCTCAGTTTATACAGAAGCATGAGAAAAACGTTATGCTGCAGCTTCTCCACTGTCTTGAGTATCAAAATTCCATTTCTGTAAGATTTAAGATGCAATGAGACCTCTCCAGAACTTTTATTAAAAGGGGGATTCAATTAACTTTCTTCTTCTGTTTCAATGATATAATCTGGGCACTTGAGAGATACACTCAATACAACCGAAAAGACCTTACCAGTACTTCCCCAGTGTTTTTGCATGTATTATCTCAACTTATCTTCAGAACTCTATGAAATGGGTGGAACAGGCATCTAGCATCTTTTAAGGTGGAATGTTTTTTGAATTGGAAAAGAGATTGATGCAACTATGGCAACGTAAATAAGTTTAATGACTCTAAGTGGAAACTAATTAAATAGGGAGGGAGTACAACCATATCTGTCAAAGATGCTCCCACTGTGACCACTGCTGCCAGCAACTCACACCCAAACTATTTAGGAAACCCACGCCAACTCCCATTATAGCTTTAAGGAGTACCACACACTCTACAAATATTTGTACATCCAGGACCTCAAAAACCCAAGGTCTCTGGAAAGAACAAAAGGCTGGGGAGGAAGTTCTCTCTTTCTCTAACCTAGCTTACTCTCCCCTTTACAGTACAGTAGACAAAGTAAATGACTTGTCAGGATGCTAGAATTTCATAAGGCTCAGATTCCTATGCAAAGAAGTGAGTTGTTACGTATTGTTTTGAGTTTTAATAAACTCAGTTGGATCTTAATAATTATACTAGAAAATTTAAAAAAGACAATGTAGGACCTCTTTGGGAGAATACAGCTGATGGGGTTACCATACACAAAAGTGGTATTTATCAAGACATAAAATCCTGGAGCACATGGGAATCTTAAAGATCTTCTCAAGTTAGTTCATATAACTTCAAAGGGCTTCCGACTTCTCATATTTAAGATGAGCAAGTCAGACAAAATGTCTAGTTCCATGAGCCATAACTTTGACATCTGTCTCTCTACACCCTGTATTCACATAATCCCTTCAGCTAAATTCTACCCAAGAAGCTCCTGCAACTACACCTGCCATGCAGCTAACAATTTCGAGCAGAGCCACTCTTATTTTTGCCTAGAGGAACAGAAATATAAAACACACACACATATTCATTTATAGGCGCAAATTTATCTAACACTGAACTACCTTCTTCATTTGAGGATTCTCAAGGTTTCTAAAATCAGTAACTATTTCTTCCTTCCCTTAACACTGCCACAAGAGATCACTATAATTTAATAATAATTAGACAGTAATAATCATAACTTTATACTTAGTATCAATGGAGGGCTTTCTATTGCCAGACACCATTCTAAGCACTTACTATGCATTGACTCCTTGGATTCTCATACCAACCCTATGAGGTTGATTCTCACATCAACCCTCACATCAACCCTATGAGCACTTTCACTATACCTGTTACACAGACGAGGAAACAGAACAGAGTCCAGTCATTTGCCCTTAGGTTACAAAGCTGCTAAGTGGCAGAGCCAGGATTCTGACACGGCCCCTGTGCTCAGCCTCCACATCTCTCCCATCTCTAACATGCACAAGAGGATAAGGGGAAGTCCCTGGTCTCCACCACTTCTCCTCCACCTCCACCTTCATTCAGAGCAAGAGCATCCTTATTTGCACGTGAAGGGGAATTGTATGTGCACATACAAACTCTTTTTATTTCAACCATCACTCCTCTGCCAAGGACCCCCCGTTGGCCACTGCTCTGGCTAAGGGTGCCCACACACTGGTCGTGTGGTCCAGACTGTGGCAGATGGGCCAGGGGAGAGGAACTGTGGGGACAACTGTGAACTCACTAAAGCAGGGAATGCTGGATCCCAGACCTGTCTAGAAGGAGGAACGTGGGCTCTGAGCTCAGCATAAGCACTCTCCTTGACCCCGTGGGCTCTTTGACCCGTGGAACCATGGCCCCAGGCAGAAGAAAGCCACGCTAAGCCCCTTAAAGCACAGGCCAGGGTCAGAGACCTCAGTTACCCAAGACTGAAGGCAGTATTGCCTTTGATATTGGACCTCTCACAGGACAAGTAAGGTGACAACCTACAGCCAACTGACTAGTTGTTGGGGACACTGCTCTAAATGCCTACGATGGAAGGTTTGAATTTGAATGACGTCACATTTGAGTTCATTTCCATGAATATTAATAGTCTATATACCAGTACATCAAAAATCATATATAGTTTTTAAGTCATCATCACAAAAAATCAGTAAAATATGAAGAACTAATATTATACATCCCATTAGAAAATAACTTTGGATAAGACAGAGGGAATATATACAAACAGGTATTACTTAATAGTACCACAACTCTACATTCTCAACGAAGGCCAGTCCTTTAGACCCAATACTGTAGTTATCAAGGGCATAAAAAATGTCTGCAGTATCATTTTCGGTAGCTTAGAAAACCAAAAGCATTCATCCCAAAGACAGGTTATATTCTGGGCCTGCTCCCAAATGAGAGCTTTCTATATTGCAACTACAATCTTAACAAACACATCAGAAACAGAGACCAAGATTCATGTGATTCACATAAAGCGAAATACCAAGAAACATGGTTCTACATTTCACTGTCATCAGGAAAAAATATAGATTGCTGGATTCATTAAAATAACATTTCAAGTCAGTTTAACTTACATTATAAAAGGAACTTATTCAACTAAAAACAAATAATAATGGCAACTCACCAACCATGAGAGATGCTTCCGCCTGTGTGGTACCATGTTCATTTGTGGCTTCACAGATGTATCTGCCCGCATGTTCCTGAGTCACAGCCTGAATATGGAGACAGCTTGCACCAGCTTGGGACACGACGAAGTACACAGGCTCCAGGTTCAAGCCCTCAGGTCTTGGTAACTGTGATTTTCGGGATTTAGATCTCAGGATTTGAGATGGATGGCTGGTTATCAATCCATGGCTGTCATACCAACGAATGACTGGAACCGGCATCCCACTGGCATTGCAGGACAGAGCGACAAAGTCTCCGTCTGCCACCTGTGCACTTGCTGGTGCTGTAATTATAACTGGCTTGAATCCACTGTCTATTAAAAAAGTAATCGACATACGAAAAATTAAGAACACTGTAGTATCTACGATGCAAAACAATTTCATTCTATCATGTAAATGTGGGAGTAATGATTAAAACCAAGATAGCTACCTCCTTGTTAGTTCCCTTCTCAACTTTCACCAAGTAAAACTGTCAATAAATGGTAGAGTTGTTTCATAGCTGTAAGCTCCTAAACATTTCCTACATAAATTTCCTGTCCTTCAGAAAGAAAGGAATATATACAAAGAAATCTTTTGAGAGTTTTCTGAAGGTACACTATACATATTTGACCACTGCAAATATAGAACATATGAAGTTGAAACCTCAAACCTTAACAGGAAAATGTGTAAATAAGTATAAAGGCAGATAATTTTCCTTCAAGAAAATGGTCAATTCTGTGGGGTAGGGTGGGAAGGGAGGCACAAATTTGATTATAAAAAGCTTGGGAGAAAAAAACCTGTTCTGAATAAAAGTTGATACTGATGATACCTGTATTTTTTCCCCATAGACATGAACAGCATTTTTGTTTCTAAATTAAAGTGGCACCAAGTCTTTCCTTTGGGTCTTAGTATTCTCTGAAGGCATTTTTAAGAGAGCTTACAATGGAATATTGATCAAAGTAAATGACATTTTCTCCAGTATGTCTCTTTTTCTCTAGTCCTCCTTCCGACGTCTGACAAAACCACCCAACAACTGATACCAGATTTCTGCATTTTTGCCAAGCTACTGAGTGTAAAATGCTATCTCCCTGCTCAGAACATGCATTTTCCTGAGGTCTAATGAGGCTGTACATCTTTTCACATGATTATTTGACATTATTAATTTTTGTCCTCTGTGAAATGGCCTTTGCCAGTTTTTCTATTGGGTCATGAATCTTTTCTGTAATGATTCGGAGTTCTCTGTATATACTAGATTCTGTTCTTTCGTTCAGGTATGTGTGTGACTAGTACCTCCTTCCTAATGTACTGCTTGTCCTTTCAGCTTTTCACAGTATCTATTAGGAAGATGTTTTCATTTCAATGTGGTCATATCTTCTAAAATCAGTCTTTTAAAATGTCTTATTAAAAAGTTTTACCCACAGATCATATGTTCTTCAATGTTTTTTTGAAAACTTTTTTCATCTCGTCTTTCGTATTTAGATCTTGAATCCACTGAGGATGTATCTTTTATACAATGTGAGTAAGACACTGAGTTTCACTTTTACCTCCCTGTTGATAGCCAGTTATCCCACGTCAAAATGCGAAATGGGTCTCCTCCCTGCTGATATGCAGCGCCGGCTCAGTCAAGCCCTTACACGTAAATGTCTTTTTGAAAGTCTCTATCTTGTTTCAAGAGTCTATCTGTTTCTGTACCAATATAATATTTTCTGAATTACTACAGATATTTTAGATGTTTAAGGCAAGTCTCCCACGTTCTTTTTCTCCTTCTTTTAGAGCGCCTTTGCCATTCTTGGGCCTTGGGTTATCCAAATAAATTTTAGAATCAGTTTGTCAAGGTCCTTAAAACACTATGATGGGATTTTAATTAGAATTGTATGAATCCACAGAAAATTTTTAGAAAGATCAGAAAACTATATAATACTGAATACAATATATAATATTGAGGAACTGGTATATCTTCTCATATAACTGGCTATGCTTTACTGCTATAATATTAAGAAAGGTGGTTTTTAAATTATACTTTCTGTTTGTTGCTGGTATACAGACAGGCAACTGAATTTTTTTTTTTTTTTTTTTTTTTTAAGAGACGAAGGGTGCAGTGGCGCGACCTCAGCTCACTGCAACCTCTGCCTCCTGGGTTCTAGAAATTCTCCTGCCTCAGCCTCCTGAGTAGCTGGGACTACAGGCGCACGCCGCCAAGCGCAGCTGAATTTTTTTTTTTTTTTGTATTTTAGTAAAGACAGGGTTCCACTGTGTTGCCCAGGCTGGTCTCGAACTCCTGAGCTCAGGCAATCCACCTGCTTCGACCTCCCAAAGTGCTAGGATTACAGGCGTGAGCCACTGCACCCAGCCAAGGCAACTGATTTCTGTTCACTGGTCTTCATCCATCCACCTTGCTAAATGTTATTATTTATCATAACAGGTCATAATAGGACATACAACAGCCATAAAAATGGCCAGCAAACTATTTGGGATAGTCTATGTTGACAATCATATTGGTTGTAAATTAACAATGATCTGGGTTCTTTCCTTCTTTTACTTTTCATATCTTTCTGTGCTGGTTAGGATCTCCAGTATAATGATGGCCAGAAGAGATTTTCAAAGGGAGTGCTTCTTATATTTCACCATTAAATGCAATGTTTCCTGTAAGTCCTTGTGAGACACTCTTTATTAAGAAAGTTCAACTCTATTTCTACTTTTCTAAGTGTCTAACATGGGTACTCAATTACGTCTAATGTTTTTCCATCTCTAGTGAGATAATCATATTGTTTTTCTCCTTTATTCAATAAATAGAGTGAATGGCACTCTACATTTTCAAGTGGATTCCTGGGATAACTGTTTGGAAATGACGTCTTTTCTTTTTTACACTGTCCTGGCTTATTATTATTTAGGATTTTTACACCTATGTTCATAAATGAGACTGGCCTTTGATTTTCCTTACTTGCACCATCTTACTGAGGTTCTGGAATCAAGACTGGAGAGTTTCCATCTTTTCCTCTTCTCTGGAACAGTTTGTATAATATTTGAAACGGTCTATCCTTCGAAGTTTGGTAGAACCTCCATAAAATCATCTGGCCCCTATTTTCTTTGTGAGACTTTTAACTCCTAATTCAACTTATTTCATAGGGTTAGGACTACTTAAGCTTATTTCTTTTCAGTCAGCATTGCTAAGTTACATTTTTTCCTCAGAATCTGTCCATTTCTGTCTTTATTATAAATTGTCATAAAATTTAGCTTAATCTTACTATCTTTAATTGCTGTAAGACTTGTATTTATAGCCCTCTTTTGTTCCTAATATTATTTGTACCTGCTTTCTTTTCTTTGGATCATTTTCCCCAAAGATGTGTCCATTTTCTTAGACTTTACAAAGGGTCAACTTCTATCTTTATTGATCCTCTCTATTTTATCTTTGTTTTCTATTTAATTGATTTCTGCCTTTATTTTTATGATCTTTTTTCCTTTCTTTGAATCTATTCTGTTACCCTTTTACTTCACGCAGTAGTTTTTAGTCTTACTAATTTTCTTTTACAGCCACAGAAGGCTGTAAATTTCCTTTTAAATTCTATTTGGCTGTCTCTTACAAAATTGACTGTAGTATTTTCATTATCATCCAGTTCAAAGTATTTTAAATTTCCATTATGATTTCTTTTTTGATCCAACTATTGAGAAGTATAATTTTAAATGTCCAAATACATGCCAATTTTTAAAAATTATGTTTTCATTATTAACTTCTAAATAAGTTACACTAATGTCAGAACATTCGGTCCATATGATATTGATTCTCTGAAATTTAAAATATTTATAACTCATATCATAAACAATGGACTTCCCTAATAGATAAAGAACTCTTATAAATCAAGAAGAAGAAAGACCAACAACCTAATTTTTTCAATGAGCAAAAGACAAAGAACAGTCAATACACAGAAACGCAAATTTAAGGGGCTCAAAAACATGAAAAGATGCCCAACTTTACCTGTAATAAAAGAAATACAGATTAAATGGTTCTTTTTTTTTTTTTTTTTTTTTTAACCTATCAGATTGGCAAAGACTTTAAAAATTGACAATGCCCCATGTTGGTGAGGGTTTGAGGAAACAAGGAGAGTTAAGTGTTGCTGGTGGGAGCGAACACTGGGAATGACTATGGAGAGTGATTCAGTTATCTCTACCAAAATTACCACCACAGATGCGCTTTTATTCTGCAAGTTCATTTCTAGGAATTTCTTTTACAAATACTCACACATGTGCAAAATAATCTTTGTAGAAGGGCATTCATTATAGAACTACTTGTAATAGCAAAAGATTAAAAACAACCATCAATCAGGTACTAGTCAAATTGTTACAACTATACAATGGACCACTAAGCAGCCATTTTTTAAAAAGGAATGAAAATACTTTTTATGTACCATGTGAGAAGATATCCCAAGATGTTAAGTAAAAAATTTATGGTAAAGAATGCTACCACTATTTAGGTAAAAAAACAAAAACAAAAACAGATATTGTTATAAAATGCACACACACTCTCTCATGTTGTGTGAAACCACCTGTATGTGTACTACATCCAAGGCTGCTCAAGAAACTGACAAAACTAATTACTTCTAAAGAAAGGAACTGACTGTCTAGGGAATAAGCGTAAGAGAGAGGCCGGGCGCAGTGGCTCACATCTGTAATCTCAGCACTTTGGGAGGCCAAGGCAGGCGGATCACGAGGTCAGGAGATCGAGACCATCCTTGCTAACACGGTGAAACTCCATCTCTATTAAAAATATTTTTAAAAAAATTAACCGGGCATAGTGGCAGGCGCCTGTAGTCCCAGATACTCAGGAGGTTGAGGCAGGAGAATGGCGTGAACCCAGGAGGCAGAGCTTGCAGTGAGCTGAGATCGTGCCACTGAACTCCAGCCTGGGCAACAGATTGAGACTCCATCATTAAAAATAAATAAATAAATAAGATTAAGAGAAAGACTGTACCATATAGATTTTTAAAGTATGAAGAATCTGTTGAAAAGTTTTTAAAAACTTTTTTTTAATGAGCTTGATTAAATAAGATTACTTCTTCATGGAAATGCCTACCTGTCACTAGCAAGGAATATGGAAAATGAACACCATTCTTGTATGGTGCTAGGGTTATTTTCTTTTAGTAAAAATAATTTCATTTTTGACCACAACAAAAGCCCACCTGGAAAATAAAAGTTCTTACGACTGGCATGAGCTAAAAGCCTACCATTTTCAATTTCAAGTCTTCCAGTAGACTGCATAAATCCAATCCCATTATCTGCTACACACTGATACATCCCAGCATCTTCCATGGTAACCCCACTGATTTTCAGTCCGTTTCCTGCAGTTAGATGTCGTGCGGAAGGATGAATAGGCTGTGCATTGTGAAACCAGGTACAGTTGGGGGCTGGGTTCCCACGAACGTCACAGGTAAAGTGTACTGTGGCACCCAGAGACACTGTCTGATCCTGTAGTCCTTTAGAAATGGAAGCATGTTCTGAAAATAAAACACACAAATTAAACTCTGCCCTCAAAATGGACTTCTTAAATTATCAAGTCATAAAAACCTTCTTTCTACCAATAACCAGTTGAAACAAAGTTGCACTGTTTATTCACATTCTTCTGTCTGCTGTGGTAATCAAGAAAAAAATTATAAATGTTCCACTAATAGGATAAACCACATGTTACTAATAACATATCGTCTCGTTTCATAGATTACTCCACCCACTTAACTCCCCACAACATATGGGAATACACACATATACAGAAAGAGTTTCTAATCCTGGGCTTCTCTTAGCATTTATTTCAGGTGATTAGTTTGAAATACAGTAACAATTTCCCTGGACTTCACACTAAACAGGAGCCAAAACAGAAGAATGTTTATTCAGAGGTTAAATTATTTTTACGGTCAACTCAACTTTGAGGTTAGATGTATAATAGGCGAAAATAAAAAAATGAAACTTCCTTTAGAGATCCTTCAAGTCACTTATTACCCAGAAAAAGTAAATCATTTATCAGAATTTGCAGCATATGTCTAAATTATGCATATTAATCCAGTCCTAATCACTGAGTTCCAAGGCCCACTTGTCATACACTTATGTTAATTCCAGTGTCGCTAACCTATAGCAGGTTATGGTTGTTTACAACAATTTTATTCACTATTAAACCACTTTCCACCTATTTTTTTCATGAAAATCTGTTTCAATAAAGGAAAACATTTTCTGCAGCTACACATGATAGTGAGGTAGGCAGTTGCTTAGAAAGAAAGGAATAGCTTTGAAATAAAGTATAAATATAGAAATGTGGGTGGAAATAATTCAGTTTTGTCACCCAGGCATTGGTAAAGCATCCAAAGAAAGAAAATTAAATTAAATAGATTGATTTCTTTTTGAGATGACATTTTCTTTTTTGAGACAGGGTCTGGCTCTGTCGCCCAGACTAGAGCGCGATAGCGTGATCTCAGCTCGCTGCAACCTCCACCTCCCAGGTTCAAACCACCCTCCCACCTCAGCCTCCCAAGTAGCTGGTATTACGAGCCTGTGCTACCACACCCAGTTAAATTTTGTATTTTCGGTAGAGATGGGGTTTCGCCCCGTTGCCCAAGATGGTCTTGGACTCCTGGGCTCGAGTATTCCGACCTCCTCCCAAAGTGCTGGGGTTATAGGTGTAAGTTACCGTGCCTGGCCTGACATTTTCTCATTAGTACTCTGTCTTAGTTACTACTACTGGATACTACACACAGATATCAGCTAGATTCTTCCATTCTCCTGATTTCCAGTTTTTTCCTCCATGTTATGAAGAAGAGAGAATAATCTCTATATTGCATAACTAGGTTGGGGGTGAGGTTCCCAAGAATATTCCATGCAAAATGCTCTATGCCACCCAGAAAAATGGCCTAATTCAGCAGTCCATTATAAAAATGAAACTTGTTCTGGCTAGGGTGTAGATATTTCTAGATATTCCCTATTTCAATGTCACAAGTGGATCTTTCCTTCAGATATCAGTTAGACCAGAAAAATGGCTTCATTTGAAAAAAATTAAAAACTAACATCTTACCAAGTACATTAACCATGTAAGTCACATATTTTACATCTCCAGACTTGTTTCCCACCATGCAGGAATAGTTTCCAGAGTCCGCTGGGTCAATGCTATCTGTGGCAAGATGAGAATACAACCTTCTCCAGCTGCTTCCTGGTGCAATGTCCTGCCCGTCCTTTAGCCAGTACACTGGAGGAGCCGGGACCCCACTCACCACACACTCCAAGGTTACGGGGCTACGAGAAAGAATCGCTAATGCCTGTGAATGGGTGGGGTGAAGAATGTGAAAATCATCTGAAGAAGGACCTGGAAAAGGAAAAGAGACGAGAGATTATCAGTAAGTCTTCGTTTCTAATCTCTTGCTTAGCAAAGCCGTGGGTATCACTGTTTTCCCATGTATTCTTTATACTACAAGGTCCTATTTGGCAGTTAAATCCTTTTCAGTTGAGAATTAAAATATTTCTGTGGTCTTTTAGGGCTACTTCTGAATAATGCAGAATTCCCAACAAGTTCAGAAGCCACGCCTTTACCGTGCTCTAACTATTGGTGCTACCTCAACTCAACCGCCATAATCTAAAAATCAACAGTGATTTTCATCACATCTGAAAGAAAGAGGACAGACATATCTCCTTTTTTTTTTTTCAAAATTCACAGACACCAATTTAATGACCACTACTATGAAGTTGTATCTCCTCTATTTCGTCTTGTTTGAACAAAGGGCAAAATTCTCCACATGTATTCACTCCGTCACCTTGGCCAAAATTCCCTTCTGTAAGTTACATTTTTAAAGCATGTACAGTACTCTTCTATAATGCACTAATGTACTTTTTTTTTTTTTTTTAAACAGAGTCTCACTCTGTCATCCAGGCTGGAGTGCAGTGGTGCAATCTCAGCTCACTGCAACCTCTGCCTCCCACGTTCAGGCGATTCTACTGCCTCGGCCTCCTGAGTAGCTGAGATTACAGGCGCGTGCCGCCACACTCTGCTGATTTTTGTATTTTTAGTAGAGACGGGGATTCCGCCATGTTGGTCAGGCTGGTCTCAAACTCCTAACCTCAGGTGATGCACCTGCCTCGGCCTCCCAAAGTGCTGTGATCACAGGGGTGACCCACCATGCCCAGCCTGTATTTCCTTTTTTGGTAAGACTTTTTATGATAAACAAACAGGATTTGAAAAAAAATGAACTATCATTGCCCAAATTTTTATGAGGACTCTTCCTCTTCCACCAGTTACCATTCTTCTCCCAAATACTTACGACTCACAAGGAGCTTTCGGCCAATAGGTTCAACTTTTAATTGATGTGTGACAGGATTATAAGCTGCACATTTGTATGATCCCTTGTCCTCTAAGGATACATTCAAAATCTGAAGATTTCCTGATGGAAGGATTAAGTAATTCTCTGAGGAAGGAAGGGAGTGCAGTTAGGCCTCTCCCTTTATGAAGGACACCACAGCACAACAAAAACTCACAAAGGTTGATCATTATGCTTTACTCCATCTTATTTTGTTTTATTTTATTTTATTTTATTTTATTTTATTTTATTTTAGAGATGGGGGTCTCACTCTGTCACCCAGGCTGGAGTACAGTGGCATAAGTACAGCTTGCTATAGTCTAGAACTCCTGGACTCAAGCGGTCCTCCCACCTAAGCCTCCCGAGTAGCTGAGACTACAGGTGCACGCCATTACACCCAGTTAATTTTTAAATTTTTTGTAGAAATGGGGTCTCACGATATTGCCCAGGCTAGTCTTGAACTCCTAGCTTCAAGAGATCTTCCTGCCTCAACTTCCCAAAGTGCTAGGATTACAGGCGTGAGCCACAAGACAGCCTGCATTACGTTTAGACAGGAGATTAGAGGCAAAGAAGCAACCAAGGAAAATTTCTTAAATGAAGGAAAGGGAAAGTCAAAGCAGAATAGAAAAAAAAGGTCAACAGAACTAGCATAGAAATCAAACTTGGCAGAAGCATTTTAATGATAGCGAATCTCAAAGCACAAGAAACATGCTTCAACTTTGGCAAACCTCTACCTACAGCACTGGTCACACGGTGTTTCTGCATTGTCTAGTCACTCATTTTTTTCCCACAAATACATATTAAGGGGCTACTTTCTGCCCACAATGGCCAGGCACAAGTGCTACGGCAAGGAAAAGAGCAGACAAAAACCCTGCATGCGTGCAGCCCACATTCCAGTAGGGGTATGTGGGGAGGTCAGAGAAAAAGACATACAATCATAAACTAACAGAAATATGAATAACACAGTATCAGGTGTGATCAATTCTATGAAGAAAAGCAAAACTAAATAAAGGGGCCAGAGAGCACCAGGTATATTATTTTAGATAGGACCATGAGGGCTATCTTCTCCAAGGAAGTGAAATCTGATGGGGGTCTGAAGGAACTGAGGGAGTGAGGCCTCAGGGGATGGGGCCGTAATTATTTGTATATTGTAACCACTTGTTTTAGTCCTCTCCACTCATGCCTTCTTGCATCCACAGTTCATCTCTAGCACACAGAGCTTAGAAGCGGCTTATTTAATGAACATTTGTTCTGTGTGTGCCACCAGCTTTTCACAAAAGGTCTCACCTGTGGAATGTTTCAGCCATTTTCCCCGGATTTTATAGCGCACCTCAGCTTTGGGGTTACTCTCTGGTACCCTGCAGCCAATGAAACCAGCACTGTTTTCTTCTGCTGTAATAACATGCTTTGTGGATGAACCAAAATCACCAAGAACTGAAATAAATAAGGAAACAGATAAATAAATAAGTAAATAAATAAATGCAAATTTGAATTCTTTTTCCCAAAGGAAGTTTAAAAATCAGAAACAACATCATGCAGCATGGCCTTTTGCGGCAGCTGACCCCAGTCCAAAGGGCTGCATGATCTTTTCATCTCAGAAAGCAGCTGGGGCAAGCTACTCAGGAGGCTGAGGTGGGAGGATTGCTTGAGCCCAGGAGGTTGAGGCTGCAATGAGCCAAGATCGTGCCACTGCACTCCAGCCTGGGTAACAGAGTGAGACCCTGTCTCAAGAAAAAAAAAAAGAAACAAAAAAAGAAAAGAAAAGAAAAAAGCAAGCAGCTGGGGCAGATGTGCATGGTTGAGGGCTGAGACCTACCTAAGTCATGGCACCCTTTTTCATAAGTCAATGCTTCTAGGGAACTAGAATAAATATCAACTGCTCTTAAGATATCTAGAACTATAAAGCATAATTATTCCCATTTGGTCAAGATAAATCCTTTTCAATACAGTCCCCCATCAAAACTCACTTTCCCTACAGATCCCTAATCTGTTCGTAGTTATTCACATGGCAGTAAAATGATTTCTAGAACGAACCTAGGACACCAAACAAATAAGGAAGGATATCATTATTTAGATTATCTGAATCTACTAACTTGGCCTCAATTCCTCTCAGTCTCAGTTCACTATGGAGGCAGCCTGCGGGGGAACTCTTTATGATCTCCAGGGCTCAAAGAACTCAGCAGCCTGCCACGAGGAGTTCAGCCCGCCCGTGTGTGTCTTACAGCTGTCCATGGGTCACAGCTCTACAAAAACATTTACTCTTCTCAGTTATGACAAACTCACTACTCCTGGGGAATCCAGATTTCTTCTGTAAATAGGGGTGCTCTTACAAAGACGTTTTCCATTACTGGAAGCCATCACCATTTGAAAGGCAGATGGCTCCAACTTACTAAGAAAAACCACGCATTCCAGATTTTCCGTAAGTTCAATACTCAACATTCCTTTCTTTACAGTTACTTTTTTCCTGCTTTTTAATCATGGTTTCAATTAAATGAATTAAAATCACTCAGTAATCAAGGCAAATAAAACAGTTAGGTGTTAAAGAAAGACAAAGGACTCCAGGAAATAACTGTCAGAGTAGACAACAGCTTTTGCTATTAATGATATCATGGACTTCCAAGTACTCATAAAGAAATTGTTCAGAATTCACATTAGAAAAGGGTCCTTCAAAGCTGCAGAGATTATAAAGAAAAAAAAAACTGTCCTAACTGTGTAACTTTAAAACAATCATTTCCATATCATTGTCACCGATGAGGACACCAGGCCAGGCTCACAGAGGTCTAAGCGCACTTCTCCAAGTTCTACTCACAGCACGAGTCAAGGCTGAGATAAAAACTCCTACGTGCCTTACACCAAAGTCCATAGTCTTTCCCCTCTTCAGAAATGCAAGCACTAACAGTAATTTCCAGAAAACCCATACATAACAGGGACAAAATTAAACTCACCTGCCACAGATACTGTTGCTGGGCCACTCACAATGGCACCGATGCTATTGTTGGCAAGGCACTGGTAGTAACCCAAAAGGGAGGAGTTAAGAGAAAGAATTGTCAAAGTCCCCTGATGAATCTTAATATGTTCCACGTTTCCATCCAATTTTTTTCCATTATGCAACCATGAGATATGAGTGGTCCCAGGTTTGGCAGAACAATGTAGTACTACAGGTCCACCAAGTTTCTGGACGGCAGAGAGTGGCTCAGAAGTAAAATAAGGTGCCAAGTCTACAAGGGAATATTCCCCATATGCAAAGAAAGCACGGGAGATAAGAGGAGAGAGAAAGAAGATTACGTTAAACACATTTCATCTGTATCTTTATAACTAAAGGCAATCTCTTATTTTATGTATGTTATGGTTCTTGATGCTTGTAAAAGTTCTAGCAAAATTCTTATGAGCCTATTTATTGGAAGTGAAAAAGGGCAACATGTTAGCCTAGGACTTAACATTAGGGTACAAAAGACAAGAATGCTGATAATATAAATCAGATACAATACCAATCCTATTAATAAGAAATAGCACAGTGCAGCTGGGCCCTGGGGTCCCGCCTGTAATCCCAGCACTTTGGGAGGCCAAGGCAGGTGAATCCTTGAGCTCAGGAGTTCAAGAAGAACCTGGCAACATGGCAAAATCCTGTCTCTACAAAAAATACAAAAATTAGCCAATGTGGTGGTGTACACCTGTACTTCTAACTACTCCAGAGGCTGAGGTGGGAGGATTGTTTGATCCCAGGAGGTGGATGGAGGCTGCAGTGAGCCATGACTGCACCACTGCACTCCAGCCTGGGTGACAGTGGAGACCCTGTCTCAAAAAAAAAAAAAAAAAAAAAAAAAAAAAAAGAAAGAAAGAAAGAAGGAAATGGCAAACAGCTTTTCTAATAAAGTGACTTGGAAGAATTGGAAGTTAAGAACCTGAAAAAGTGAAGATGACTTTCCAAATAGAAAGAATTATCCCCTATTTTACCATCAGGATTTGATTTATGAGAGCAAGTTTTTCTACAAATGAGGGCTGTGGTACTTTCTTATTACTTCCCTTCAATATAAAATAATGTTTAAGTTTTAAGAAAACAGAAATAGAAAGTTAGGAAGCCACAACTGAAATACAAAGGCTATCCTTTCTTAAATATAGGGCTTAGTATTTTTATGTGGGATTTGAAATTGTTTGATCTGTTATTTCTATTACTCCAGGAACATGGGAAGGCAGGGGTGTTCCTACACCAAAGTATCCACGCAGATCCTTCTGTTCCAACCCGAAAATGGGAAGAGGGAAGAAATATTTGTTAATTTGGGGGAATAAAATACTTAAGAGAAAAAAAAAATCAATAAATTGCTGAATCTACTCCTACAGCATATTTAATCAGAAATGAAGTTAAGGGGAAGTATGACTTCTGGCTGAATCTGGGGTGGTTGTTTAGCAAAACAGAAATAAAACCAAAAAACCAATATTCCCCTTATTAAATTTCATATGGCTATATGGTATTTTTAGCAGATATTAAAAACAGTACTCAATGAATAAACATCACTGTATTTGTATCTACTTATATATTCATGTTTACACAAGTCTAAAATAAAAAGAAATGCACGTGAACCATGTTTTAGGCGTGGGGCTTACACACACATTTAACAACAAACACATTTATGCTTTTCAGTAACCCAAAGAGGCAGACAATAAATTAGGCAAGGTCGTAAGAGAAAGTGGCAGACCTGGAATTTGAACCAAGTTCTCTCACTCCCAATTGAACATAGTATCATGCTGATTCTAAAACTTCTCTTTGGCATATATAGTCCACATTTTATTCCTGTTCTTTCCAAATCCAGAAATTAGTAACATATCCCCTTATTTAAAAAAAAGCATGATTGGAAAATACGTATTTAAAAAAAAAAAAAAAAAAAAGGGATAAATTACAAGGGCCAGGACAGGAAGGCCTGCTAATGTCCAAAGCACTACTAAGAGATCCTTAAATTGCTGAATTTATCAAGTTTTTAAATCAAGTAGTTGGTCAAACCAATCTTAGAAACATCTTTAGATAGCACCATTACCACAAAGCATTGCAGTACAAATTTATTTGCTATAGGATTAAGATAAGTAAAGGCCAAACCACCCCCTCCCCAATTCTACTCTTACCTGAACTCACAGAAGAGCACAGAACTGTAAGAGTAACATATAGCAGTGTACATAAGGCTCCAAGATCCGGATGCATAGCGCCAGATGACAGAAGCAGGCAGGACAGGCTTCCAGAGCAAAACCCAGGCCTTGGTTCACTAAAAAAGAAAAAGGAAAGAAAATATAAACCATCGAAATCTTTCATCTGAGCAGCTGGAGTTGTGAGCATGATGGCTGCCATCTATTTTGAAAGTTCTGTGTAGAGTACGTCAAATACTAGGCACTTAATGTTCCAGATCTTCCCAGTTCACAAACTGATCTCTAGACACTAAAGCCAGAAGTTTTGCTCATTCTTCCAAGGTCCTAGGATATCTCTTACTACACAGAACTAATCACTCTGAATGAATACATTCAACTGCCTATAATGCATTTCTACTTACACACCTCACATACATACAAAACTCAACGCAACCAACATGTATTCCTCCTCCACATCACCCAAAATAGTAAATATAAGGAAAATAACAAAATAGTGGCTAACATTTACGCAGTGTTTACTATGTGCCAGACACCATGTCAGTGCTTTAATACACGAATTTAATCTTCATAACAACCCTGTGAGATAGGTACTACTGGTTTTTGTCTCTTTTTTTCAGATGGAGGACTCCTGGCTCATGGACTGGTCAAGCACAAAGAATATTAAGGTCAGGCCTGCGTTGGGATTGGGCTTGGCACTATTGTAAGAGTGGGATAAGCCAAAAGGATAGTAATGGATGAAGCCAGAGAGGAAGGCTGGACCAGATCACATATTCAGCTTTGAAGGCCATGGTAAAGATTGTGGGATTTATTCTAAATGAAAGAGCAAACCCTTAGAGGACACAGAGAAGGGGAATGATGTAATCTTATTTATGCTTTAAAAAGATCACTGGCTGAAGTGGAAAAGGGAGACTAAGCTGGACATACTGTAATCACCCTGGAGACAGATGAGGACACAGTGGTTAGAGCAATGAGTCAACCGTGGAGGTGGAGAAAAGTAGTTGGACTCAGAATATATTATAAAGGTCGACCCAATAGGACAAGTCGAAGGCTTGGGTATAGTGTGGGACAGAGATGTGTGAAGGATAACTCTCGGGTTTTGGTGACACAAAATAAATAATAGCCCTGTTTACTGAAATGGGGAAGACTAGAGAGGGAGAGACAGAAGAGAGGGTTCATCACTAGTTCTGTTTTGGCCAAGGTAAGTCTGAGCTATCTATTAGAATCCAAGTATTACTGTCAAGTCAACAGTTGCATGTGTGAGTTTGGAGCTGTATGAAGAAATCAGAGCTGGAAATGTAGATCTTCAAAGTATGAATGCCTTGGCACTAGATGAGCTCTCTCTAAGGAAAATATGTTTAGAGGACTGAGGAAAGGGGAAGAGATAAAACAGAAGAGCCTTGGAATACTCCAACCTTTAGAGATGGGAAGTAGCCAAGGACACGCAGCAGAGGTAGTTAATGAAATAGAAAAAAAATCTATTTGTCTAGGGAGAACATAAGAAATATTTCTAGGCTGGGCACAGTGGCTCACATTTGTAATCCCAGCACTTTGGGAGGCTGAGGAAGGCAGATTACTTGAGGTCAGGAGTTTGAAACCAGCCTGGCCAACATGGTGAAACCCCGTTTCTACTAAAAATACAAAAATTAGCTGAGCCTGGTGGCATGCACCTGTAATCCTAGCTACTTGGGAGGCTGAGGCAGGAGAATCGCTTGAACCTGGAAGGTGGAGGTTGCAGTGAGCCAAGATCGTGCCACTGCACTCCAGGCTGGGCAACAGAGCCAGACTCCATATCAAAAAAATAAAAATACATTTAAAAAATAAGAAAAAGAAATATTTCTAGAAGAAGAGTGTGATCAACAGTCTCAAACATCAATGAAAAGCAGAGTAAGATGAGACACCATCAGAAAGGACTACTGAAGGTCGTTGGTGATATTGTCAAGAGTGGTTTCAGTGGAGAAAAGACAAAAGCATGATGGTGGGTTCAGGGTAGAATGGGAAGACAGGAAACAGAAAGCAGGCACAGACACTTCCTTCCAGGGTTCTGCTATACAAAGGCAGCAGAAAAACAGGGAGAATTGCTGAAGACAGATGGTAGTCAAGGGATGGTTTGTTTGTGGTGTGTGTGTGTGTGTGTATTTTACTATAGAGACAGTATAGCACATTTGGTAAAATTTAAAAAGTTTCACAAAACCCAGCACTGGCAAGAATGTGAGCAAAAATCCTTATCACATATTGCTGGTGGAAATAAAATCAGTACATACTTTTTGGAGGCAGTCTGCTATTTCTATCAAAAATCATTCATGCAACAAACACTTATTGAATACTTATCATATGCTAAGACTATCCTAAGAGGTGGAATTGAGCAATTAAAATTGCATACATAAAACTAACACATAAAAATGTATACCATATATTCAAGTAGGAGAGATGGACAATATAAAAGATAAATAAAACTAGTAAAATTAACAATGTCCATGCCATTCTCCAGATATGGCCAATTCTTTCTCTTCTATCCTTCCTCTACACCTGGGACATGCGTAACCACAGCACTCAATACTCTCTTATGTAACTTATCTAGTGACACAACTGTGACCTCTTTGAAGGCAAGAATGACAACATATTTAGCTTTGCAAAATTTTAGTGCCTAGCAGAAAGTAGGTATTTCAAAAATGTTTCTTAAAATGAAAGGAATACAATAGAATGCAATTCCAAGAAGTACCTTAAGGAGTAGTGTTTAATGAGAACTGCCATCTCATCTGAATTTGGTATATTCTAGCTGTATTGTTTATTCCTTCACTCATTTATTCATTCATATGTATAATTTTAAAAATCAACCAAAAATACAGTAAGTGTCTACTATATGCCAGGTACTATGCTAGACTAGGCTACTATGTCTGCGAATCATGCCCCATGTTCCTGCTTAGCCAGGGCTAGACACTGGACCTATGACTACAGAATACAACAAAATCTAATGACAGTACTACATTAATGACATTTTAGAAATGAGAATTTTACGTGCATTTTCATTTATGCAAAGAAAGATGAATGCTAACCATTAATAAAAGTAGGTAGTAATATAGACGAAGGGCACCTTAAGTACAGCTTTTAATAAATCAAATAGTATCTCCCAGAATCTGCTCACCTTCTCTATGCCAAGTACTCCAAAATCTAAAAGGTGCAAACTCAAGTTTCTCTAGCTCACAGATATCAGGTTATGAATCCGCTTTTCCAGTTTTTTCTTGCTGACCTCCTTTAAAAAGTGGGAGAGGGACTACTGGCATGACTCAACGGCAGAAGAGTCCAGCTGTGTGAAAACTTTTTTGGTTTATTTGAATTCTCACTTGGTTCAAGGGTAAGAACTGACACAACACTGGAAAGTAGTCAAGGCAAAGTAAACATTCAAATAACTTGTTAACAGGAAACATTTTCCTGAGAGAATGAGGACAAGAAGGATTGTGATTGTTTCTTCCTTTTGCCAAATCTTTCAGCTATTTATTTGTTAAAAAGCACTGAAACAAATTTCAGAGTCAACTTTAACCCTAGTGCATGACCTACTGAGTGACTTTATAGTTGTCCTTAAAGTTTCACAGTTCATTACAGCTACCTAAATATTATCACACAGGAATCTTCTTTATTGAGTCTATCTTTCTATTGGGTTACTCTTTACATGCTCTCAGTTGATTTTGGAAGTTGGAAAGAACCTATGGCCAGAAAAGGCATTTACTAAATACGTGTTGGCTTGGTTTGTATTTATCCAAGGCAAGCCTGCTCAGTTTGTTAAAGAACTGTGATAATGACAACAAGGAGTTGGATTCTGCTGTTTTATGGAGTTGGGTAGCTTGACATTATGGTCAACAGCTAGTTACAGCACCCCAGGCCCAACCTCACAAATAAACATTACTGACCACACAAAGATTAGATACGTATAAATCACAGTATATCCATTAGTACTACTGGAAAATCTTTCAATGATATGTCATTTTCAAAACTACGATCTTTATCAAAAAAGAAACCCTTAATATTAGTATTATGGCTATTTAACTAGTAAGTTATTAGAAAACCAAATATATATGTAATTTATTCATGTGTGTGTGTATATGTACATGCAAATGCGTGTGTGTGTGTGTGTGTGTGTGTGTATTTAAGTTCCCCTACATTGCTCTGGCAAATAGACACAATTTTGTTTGACAAAGTTTACCATAACTAACAAGGTTTCTGCCATCTTCTTATTCACAAGTCAGTGGCCTTAACGTGTATGTCATTTTTCTTACCTACAGAAATTGACCTTGGCAAAGGGGACAATAATCCTAATTTCCTCTACATAGGTGTTATCTCATCCTCCTTACCTTTTCTTTCAATCTGGAAATAATGACCAGCAGAGAAAAACATCCATGATAAGGATAACTATCCCACTCTACACCACACATAACATGGGCATATTACTTGCCAAAGGTGCTTAACCTCTGTTCTAGTGAACATAACATTCAAATCTCCTCGTGTAAAAATTAAAAACAGAATTCTGATTTAAATCATGTCAGAGAGAATAGAATTCTGACTTAAACCACACTGCCTTTTTTTTTTTTCTTACTTCAGGGATTTTTTTTTACTTCAGGTTTCATTTTGAATTTTTTTAAAGCACTCTATGTTGTCAACATAATGCCTGGTGATATTTTAAACAAATTATTCAAGTTTTCTTCACATATTTTATATGTCAGTTTTAGAAGAATTGCTAAATTTCTACACAAATACTCGTCCAAAAAAAGTACACATTCAATACAGAATGTGCAGAAAATACATAAACATATAAAAAGGAAAGTAAACACGACGGTCCCGCCCCCTATAGAAAACAAGTCAATATTCTGATGCACTTCCTTCTCATCTTTTCCATATATGCGGTGTACTGTATTTACATCATTGTGATAATACATGTTAGGGTTTTAAATGCTTTAATTGATTATTTAATGATCATTTTTCCTTATTAAAATTCTTTTTTTGTTATTTGTGAGATGGAATCTTGCTGTTGCCCAGGCTGCAGGGCAGTGGAGTGATCTCGGCTGGCTGCAGCCTCCACCTCCCAGGTTCAAGTGACTCTCTGCTTCAGCCTCCAGAGTAGCTGGGA